ACGAAGAAATGTCCCCAGTCACTTCATGTCAAAAAAACCTATGTGGAGTCCCTTTACTAGTGTCATGGTAAGTTCAAGTTTGTCTGTATTTAATTATTAAATCATAATGATTTGAATTCTGTTAGTCGGATATTATCAAATACAATCGGATGGAACAATAAAATACAAATTTGGACTATTTAGCTGGTAAATTTGATGTAATAAGTACCGAAAATTTAATATTGACCGAGGCGATAGCCGATAGCTAAAACGTACATATCTCACACCGTATTACCGGCGCCAGTGGTGGCAGATCACTACAGTGGTGGCAGATAGCTGAAATTTACCGCTCGGTAAGGGTAGGTTATAAATTTGGTTGGTATTATTATATTACACAAATACGGCCCATTTCATTGCTATGAAACTATTTCCATTGCCTTGAGATACTATTAGGTAATTTTGGACTCGTTTTTTATTTGGAGCAGGTTAAAAGTGACAGCTTCGGAAAAATCCGTGAAAATGTCTGTTTTTTTTTTTCAAAATATCTCAAATTTTAACTAAATGACAGGATTTCGTGTTATAAATATAGACGTTCATGCATTGGGGTCACGCAAGCCAAATATCTACCCCGTGAGTCTTTTCTTGAAAGTTTTACAGACGTTCAATCTCGTCCGGTCGAATAAAAAATGCTGCCGTTGTAGGCAGATACTTATTTTAAATAATAGATATTTGGCTTGCGTGACCCCAATGCATGAACGTCTATATTTAAAACACGTAATTCTGCCATAAAACATGAAACCCTTTATTGTAAAATGTTAAATTGGTAACACTGATGATATTAGTTATATTGTCATCTGTTATCAATTTCGTTTTGTGTCAATCTTTACAATTGTATAGATAAAATTTAATTTTATGTTTCTTTAAGAACCTATTATAGGAAACGTTCATTGAGAATGCGGTATTTTGAAAAGATCGCGCTGTTTCTGATAAGTCGAAATTCATTAACTACCAACACTAAAAACATAACAGATAATGATGCCTCATTAAAAAATTTAGTATATATGAACCATGCACCTAAAAAAGGATACAAAAAGCTGTTAACTGTTTTTCAAGTCTGAAAGGCAGGAATATCACCCGTACTTTAAAGCATAACTTGATACTTCAAGTTTCATAACAGTTATAACTTTGAACATTGGAATTTGAGTGCATGTGGGAGAAACGTTATGTAAAAAGTGTCATCAATTGTAACATGCATTAAAATCGTTTATTATTATTTCATTAACATATATTCGACGAACACGCAATCCATGACCAAACAAATGTAAAAGAACGCACATTTGTCTCCATGATGTCCATTTCTGAGTTTTAGTCAGTGGGTTGGTACTTTTGTTGACAAACGGTTTATGTAGTACCAGCTAAACTAAAAACCTTTAAAACTTGAACTTTTGGAGATTAAAACTTTGTTACTCATGATAGCATCAACAAACAAAGGCCAAGAGATTGCAATATTGTAGTGGTGCAAATTTAGAGCGTAAGAATTATTCGGAGAAGTGGACGACTGACAAACCGCCATTATAACCAATTAGCGACAAGTTTTGATCATCATATAAGGTTCATGTGAACTAAAAAGGCTCTAAAATATTACTTTGATATCACCTTTATCGATTTTCTTCAAAGACTTTTACTAGATATTCTACATACTGTGAAGACAACTTTGCGAAATGTGAGTAGCAAATACTACAGATTTATTAAATTAAATTTCAAAATATCGGAATGAGGATAATATACATTGAATCAATTGAAATGCTTTACATTGAATACATTTTATGTTTTGTAAGATTAATATGAATTATTGCAGTGTAGTATTTTTTTATTCAAACAATTTTTATAGGCTAATATCTTATTTGTATTTGTTTAAAATTCTGGAAACAAAGTGATCTCTCGGATGCATTAATCACAACAAAATTACAAGAGAACTGATGACTCAGACTGAGTCTGTACATGAGGGATAAATAATAAGTGCAACATCCCTCACGCCCCCTAGCACCGGCTTGAGCAGTACTCAATTCTCAAAACTTAATAGTGCTGGCATCAATGATCCCGAAGAGCGAGAAAATATAACAACACTAAAGTGAAGTATGGGGCAACTTCTTACAGCTGCCACACAGCACTTGACACCTGCTGTTGTAAAGTATAAAATTCTGGAAACAAAGTGATCCCTCGGAAGCATTAATTACAACAAAATTACAAGAGAACTGCAGACTCGGTTTGATTGAGTCTATGAATAAGTGCACCGTTTTAAGCGGTACTCAATTCGTGTTGGCATCAATGATCCCGAAGGATGAACTCACACCGACACGTGTACATTTAAGATCTAGTTTTCCTAGTGGAGGAGGATCTCAGTTGTGTCCCTGCATGCAGTATTATTTTTTCAAAAAGAAGCAGATAGATGCTCAAAATCGTTCAATAATCAATTTCACTAATCAATTGAAGTCATTTAATTTCCCGGAATAAATATTACTAATTTTGAGATGGATTTTTTTGTTAACCTGAGCTTGAAACAGGCAAATGATTTAGTTGATAATTACTAACGCAAACAGTTTTAAGAGTTTCAAAACAACGCTTTTTTGCTCTCAATAGGTACCGTTCAAATGACTGTATGTGTCATCCTCAACACGCAGATTTTTATAATCCCTTTTAACATCATCATAATCGTTTTCTTGCTTGTCAGGTACACCATAGATATTGTCTGTTTTATCATTGTTCATAAAGTTTCTGGTTATGTGATTATATTTTTCAGTTTCGTTTAATGTTTCAGATAATTCTTTTACACATTCAGTAATCTGTAATGCTTTTATTTTTATAGCTGCATTCTCGGTGGTGTCATAAACGTTATCAAATTGGGTACCAAACTTTTTATTGAAATGTATTATATTATAATCGTCGTTGACACCTCTTCCATCTCTCCTGGAATTTGAAATATCACCATTGGCATGAGATTCTTTGGAGCCTGGTTCAAGAATGAAGTAATTATGTGCATAATTACTATTGTCTACGTCGAGATCTTGATGAAGGTTTACGTTATCGTTTCCTTTAAAATCGTTTATTTGTTCATTTTCAGCTCCTAGAGATTGATTATACAGATTGTTTTCAGCTTGATTCTTACTGGCAGTTTCTTTAAATGAATCATTCCGAGAAGAACTTTTAAAACACATGTTTGGAATTTTGCCTCTGAAAAATAAAATCGAAATAACATTTAAGATCTTATGACAATCCGTATTTTCAACCGAAAAAAATATGTTGATGATTATAAACAAACAATTTAATGCAATCTTTACTAAGCGTCACATTAATAAAACTTACTTATACATCTTTACCTGTAAAAGCATTCAAAAACAAATTATCACAAATAATCTGACATGTTATATGTGATCAAAAGCAAAGGTAAACTAGCAACGGTAAACAAAATGAGTTATTTACCGTCGTTTCAACATTATTATGACAATAACAATGGCTGCCACTAAGAGTAAAATCACAACTGAAACACTGACAAGGATACTGACATTGGAACCTGCAAGATAACAAATGGTAAAACTTGAATGATCATATGGCACACCGTCAAGCCATGTCAAAGGGTATTATAATTTAATTTCAAAACTGTTCATAAAAGCGCAGATCTTATAACCGTTGACGTCACGATTCCGTCAAAAAGACATGTAGTCAGCCAAAAGACATATATGTCAAATGGATCAAAGCCTGCTATTCCTTTTTTGAACCATGTTTAGGGGCCGTTTATTTCAAGTTAAGGATACAGACAATAGCATTGATACGTAGTTAATTAAAAGAAAATGTTTTTATGATGTTTAAGCCAGGTATTTTAGAAGATATAAGACTTTTTATAAAGTTAAGAGGCTCGTTCATTTATACAATTACACAAGAAAAAGGGCAAAAAGGGTGAAAAATTTAAACTGCTTTATTAGCATTTTGTTTCTGCATGTTTTGTTTTTATATATCAGACAATCCGATTAGTTTTATTCAGAAATTTTCAAAGTGTTTTAATGTATCGTGATTCTGTAATGCAACAAAGCTTTAAAGTTTTAATATGTTTAGAAATTTCCTTTTAGAGAAACGAGCACTAATGCTGGAGTTTGTTTATTTAAACTATTAACAAAATGTAACATTTAAAGAAGAGGAAAATATATGTTTTCTTATATTTAGCATGAAAGAAAGATGTAAACTTGTCATACGTTACATGTATTGCTTTTTCAACTAGCCATATGAATAGATTATTCCAAAATATTTGTACCATTTCGCAGTCCATAAACAGATACTTTATACTGTAAATATCCATACAGCAAAAATCACAGACACTAAATTCGGTTGATTTACTTTGAAGGAGGAACTTGTCTGACGCAATGTTCCTGTGTAAAAATTATACCGAAAGTTTTGTAAACTATTATCTTTATAGTATACAAAAAATAATTTTCGTACGTATTTTTCCATCGAAATTCTTTTTTTGTGAAAATCGTTCTTCCCATTTTATTTGCTTTCTTTTTTATTTTACACGGTCTCATTTGCTTTTGAATCTGTGTTAACTTTTTAATGTTTATTGATGTGTTTGTTTTTTCTATGATATCAAAAGTGCTTATTTCTATATGCGTTCAAAGTTTGACTAATTCATGGTAGTTTACGTTTCCATTCTTTGGGCATTAATGAATTTGATTTATAAAAGTCAATGTTTCTGTATGAATGTTTAAATTAGGTTTCGGCTAATCAAAGGTTTCAAACTACTTTTTTTAAATGTTAAAAATATCCTTTACTTTATTAATATTTCTACATTTTAATTTTTGGAAAAAAATTAGGAGCCATTATTTTTAATTGTGAATTCTGTCATATTATTTGGTCTTATAGATTTTGTGGATTTTTATTAAAAATTATTTTACTTCATGTTAGAATAGTAGTACATGTAATTATGTTAAGAAAATATTTTCGATTTTAAATTTCTGTATATTATTTGCTTTACATTAATTTTAAATTAATCGATTCCACCAATTCTTTGAATTTTTTTCTTTATTATTTATATCCACAATCCATGGTTATTTTCATCAAATACCTTTTGATCTAGCTTGATTTAATCGAGTAAATGAAAATTGGCAAGTCTATCATATTTGATACTCTATATTTAAAGTCTTGGATAAGTATATCCCTTTTAACTTTGCCTCTTTTTGAGTGCCATGTATTCAAAATAGTTTTTGTAATTGTTCTCATCATTTCTTCAGGTAGACTCAAAAGAACAGATATTGTGATAGTTAGTTCTAAGGACTTAAATACGGATATATTGACAATTGTTGTTAAATACCTTGCTATCCATTTATTTATGTCCTCTTTAATTTGTTAAAATTATTATTTTGTTTTTCGGACTTACGACCTCAGACTTTAAGGTTAAAAAAACATGTATCGATCTCAATATAAGTTTCTTATTTTACGTTATTATGTTCATATATCCAACATTGAACAATTTTGTATTGGAATTATCTGTTATTAACTATGCATTAATCAGACATTGTAAAACGGGTTGAAAGGCTGAGTTTTTCAAGGCTAACGTAGTCTGTACCTTAAACCGCAAACGATTGTCACCTGGCGCATTTATGAACCACCAGAACAGCCTCTACAAACAGGAATTTTGACAAAAGTACTACGGATATAGTTTTCTGTTTCTAGAGGCCGTTCAGTATTAATATAAATATTAAACAGATGTCGTGTTAAGGCAAACTGAAATAACTTCAATAAAATCTGTCCTTCGACTGTTATGAAAGACGTGGACTTTTTGCAGGACAACGCACACAAATAAGGTACTGAAATTACATTTTTAGAAAATGGCTGTCATTAAACAACCACCATATTCTCCATTTACTTGGCACCCTGCGATTTTTTTCTGTTCCCAAGACTGAACAACATCTTGAGTGTCATCGCTACAAGAGTGGACATGAGCTTATTAGAAGATTTACCTAAGGAGGAGTATGTCGAAGCATTAAAAATGAATTAAACGTCTGAAACGTTTCTTATGTAGGATGACGTTGAAATGGTTTAAAATAGGAAATTGTAAATGTTTGCTCTTTTCTTAAATTTAGTATATATTAATCTACTTTCGTATTCATATAAAATCTCCAATAAAATGTCAATTTTGTATTCTGACAAGCTAATGATTTCTTATAATATTATTACATACAAATTGCATTTGTATAATTTTTTTTACAAATACCATTGAACAAAATTCGAATTTGGTTAAGAATTAAAAATGTTACTTACTTTCAAGTGCACTAATTTCGTCATTTGATTGAAAGCCTTTCGTCATATTTATAAATTCATTCTGGATACTAGATGTTAATGTTCTGTCAGTTATTCTTGATGTAAATGGAGTAGTCGTATGCGTAGATATTCCTGTTGTTAAAATATAATTGTGTTTGGTTTGAAAATATGCAAAACCTATTTACAGTAAGTCTCCCCCTTTTTCAGCTCTGACTTTTCGTCGCCCTGAATCAGGCTAGGTCATATAACGAGTTCATGTGCCCCTCTGTATTTTTTCCAGTCATTAACGGGACTCAAGTAATAATATAACTGTCTTAATCACACTGTATTAATCACACATATTGAAAATTTAGAACGTAGATTTTATGAAATAGAAAAAGAATCATTATTAAAACTGCAAGAAGAATTGACTTCTTTAAGGATAGAAAAAATGAAAGGCCATTTTGTAAGATCTAGAGCTAAGTGGACTGATTGCGGTAAAAAGCCCACCAACTATTTCTGTAATTTAGAAAAAATTAATTATACAGGAAAATTATACCATTTTTTACAGAAAAATTGGAGACCAATAATAAAAAATCAGAGAGATATTTTACAGGAAGCAGACTCTTATGACACGCAATTATGTACAAAAGTAAAATTTGAGAGAACTATACAAGACACATTTTTCTTGAAAATAATACTGATACTCTGAAGTAAAGTACAGAGGTTTCAGATTCTCTTATACTGAAATTAGAGATACCTTAAATAATATAAAAATGACAAAAGTCTTGGATCTGATTTTTTTCTGCATTTTTTTTTAAGTATTCTGGAATAAAATTAGACATTTTATTATTTGATATATAAACTGTGTATTTAATGAAAATCATTCAATAATACATAAAATGGAATCATTAATTGCATTCCAAAAGATAAAAAAAACCTTATCAATTCTTAAAAATTGGATACTTTTCCTCTCTTAAATACTATTTATTAACTAGCTTCTGGTTTTACAGCAAAAAGATTAAAATCTGTTTTAGATTATTTAATATACAAGGATCAGACGGGTTTTGTTAAAGGCCGGTTTGTAGGGGAAAATACACGAAAAATATCACAATAGGTCGATGAAAAAAAATTACATAGTGCTTTAAATATTTTGGAACATTTTGCTATATAATCTGGTCTAAAATTTAATTTTGAGTAAAACACATGTTTTTTGGATAGGTTCTTTAAAGTACAGCATTAGGTCCATCAAAATGGAAACTGAACTGTGTCAGTACACAATTCAAACTACGTGAATTTTATTTTGATGTTAATTTGGATGAAATGATATGTTTGAACTTTGATGAAAACTTGAAAATATTCAAAATTCTATACAATACTGGAAAAAGAGAGAACTGACACCAGTAGACGTGTAAGTGTTATTCAGTTTTTACTATTGCCAATGTTAACTCAGTTATTTATATCTTTTCCAAATCCAAATAGACACTGGATAAATAATATTAATAAAATGTTTTTTGATTATATATGGAATGGTCCATCTAGAATAAAAATATCATTGTTATTTAAGATTATACAGAAGGTGGTGGTATTAGCACAAATGAATAATCTAAAACTTACCTGCCTTAGAAGGCTTTTACTAAGAGGTGATAATAAATGTTATGCTTTAGCTAATGTTATTATCATTACTGAAACATTGTTCAATTGTGGAAGATTGTATGCTTAAATAGAATATAAAAACTCAAACAATCTTTTTTGGAAAAATGTTGTTAAATGATATTTTGATTTTATTAACATTTTCCCAATTGATAGTATGGACAAATTCTGTAGTACGCCATTGTTTTATAATGATCATAACTTTATAATGGATCATAAACATGTGTTCTTTAAGGATTGGCATGAAAAGGGGATTGGATATGTCAGAGATATATTGGATGCTAGCAAAAATGTAATACCAAAGCATGAATTTGATAGAAAACCTGCTTTAAATACAAAGTTCTAACAATTTGAAGCGTTAATTAGAAGCATCAAATACTTTTTAAAATCTAGAACAGAATTAATCCGTTACAAATCTATTTCCCACCTTCCCTTTGTGTTATTAAAACCTATATTACTATGTAAACAATGAACCTCTATTATTTACAATATATTAACAACTAACGACGAAAAGCCTACCTCCAAAGCGGCTAGTTGTAGTGTTTTTGATAAAGCTCCATTGGAGTGGAAAATCTATACAGTTGGATTTTTAAACTAACAAATGATACTTATTTCTAATGGCTTCAATCTAAGCTTTTGCATAGAATTTTAGCTACAAATACTTTGTTTAAAATGAATATTGTGACTGTAAAAGTGAGAATGAAACACTGCTTAACTTGTTTTGGGAATGTGATAAAATAAAGTCATTAATAGCAGATATTACTGAACATGTCAAATCATTCAATGTAAACTTTGAGAGAGATTGCAAAACTTTTTATTTTGGGAAATACCAAGAAAATTTGAATGTTATAACATATTTTGCCTATAAACCAAAAGACATATTTATTTATATAAGAGATCATAATGTATTGATCCACATCTGGATGGGCTGAAAGGAAACTTAAAATAAGCATCATCAATTGTTAAAAACACAAACATTTTGGAAAATAAACTGTCAAATTGGTTCATGGTAAATTTCCCATGTGAAATATAATTATAAATATCAATGATTTGCTTATGATTAAATTTAAGATTGTTACAAGTGGATTAGTCTACACATATTCATTTTATTTTTCTAAGAAGCTCAAATATTTAAAAACAATAAAAAACAACAACAATATAACACAAAAACTCCGCTAGGAATGTATCATTTGGATATTCTTATAAAATATTGTTAGAAGTAAATAAAATGCAAAGTGATTCAAGAAGAACTTAATTGAATTTAAATAATTAAATATGTTGCATTTCATTGTAAGCCATTCAATTAAAAAAAGAAAATGGTATTGCAGTATTTGTATATCAAAATTGTTTTGTTAAATTGTATTGACGTAATTACTTTTATCTTAATTGCACATAATATTAATGTTACATGTATATAACATGCATTTGTAATAAAAAATATAAGTGTTTACTAATGTCAGGCAAGTTAGTCTCATAAATGATTTTAAGAATGTCAGTCTAAAGGTGTTAGATAAATGTTCCGAAATATATGTCTCTATATATAAGCTTCGTTTTAACACGAACGTACATCTTACTTCATTTTCCTTGGAGCATTAGTATCAAACATTGGTAATGATGATTAAGTATGCTGTTTTTATAGTACATTTTCACAAGGGTAGGAAGAATGTTATCTATAATCTATAATTCTTACAATAGATTTTTATAAAAATATTCAATGGCTACCAATATATTCAATCACGATTATTACTTAGTAATTGGATATTCTCTCAACATTACCTTGTGCTGATATCCTGGTGCTAAGAATTATGTTTGTGGTTTTGGTAGGATATAAAGTCACGTATGTCTGTGGTATAGAAGGTGAGGTCCATATTGCTTCCTTTAATGGTTTAGTTATAACAACTGCGTTCAATATAGAATTGTATATTTATTTTAACTCATATGGTTGTAAGTGTCAATTCAAAGGACACTTATTTTTATTAAAATATGGTAAACAAGTTAAACAAAGAAAGGTGGCATTGAAAGAACGCAACCCCCACACGATCTAGCATCAAGGACCAGCGGTCAGGAACCCATGAGAGCCCCAAATAAAATAAGAACAGGACATAAGGCAGAGCACGGACAGGATACGTACTCAATAATACTTTAAAGGAAATAATAGTAACCGACAAGGAAATCAGATACAATTTATTGAGTAATAGGCCCATAACGTAAAAGGCACATGGGAAGGGAACTTCAAGTACGGGAAAGGGGAGGGACAAAATTTAAAAAAAAGAAACTACGGGCAAAAGGGAATATACTAACCAAAGACGAGAAAACAACAAGGGACACAAACACAAGTGTCACCCAAACAGTATAAAACAACAAAGACATACATCTAAGGAATACAGAGGGGCGCCGTTTTGGAATTGTCAGCAACATAAGCATTGCTTGGCAGGTTTAACCGATCATTGGTGACCAAACCTCACTCTTAGCACCACCATCGTCCTATAAACGAGGTTTTATTTAACGTCACATACGTTGATTTTTTTCTATTGTTATTGAATAATTTAACAATGTGTAATATTAGATAATGCTTTCAGCAAGACGCTAATTAAAATGTTTGAATAAAATAAATCTATGATAACTATAAACTTACGTGTTTGAAGAAAATATGGTTTCTTTGTTCTGTTCAAGGTAAATGAAAGAGTTGTAATGTTCCCATGTTTAGTAACATATCCATACCCTTTAACGTTACTTCGATGAATTTGACTTTTGAAAGTATCTAATAATAAAAAAAGAAAGAAAAACACGCACAAACAAGAAACGCACAAAATTCAAAGTTTGTCATTATGTTTGGTTGTATTTCTTTTCTACAAATGTCAGTTCTTTTACACCATATGTCTGCGTATTGTTTTTTTTATTTCAAGATCCATGAAAAGTACATTTATCTGTTATATGTTAAATCATGTCGTATCACAATTGGTGAAATGAACAAATATAGTGTACCATATTCAAAGATAATTGATATAATACAAACATATGCAAAGATCCAGATGTGCACTATTCTTTGTATGAAATGATAATTTTGTTTGGCGGCCATATGGAAGAAATGTTTGTTAGTTGAGAAACGAGGAATTATCTTGTAAACGACTCACTTGAGTCAAGTATATGGATATAGTGCACATCTAGATCACCGTTATGCATTTACTTTTTTATCGATTCTTAATTTGTAATCCAAATGAAAAACTTACTATCAGATTTGAATATCACATCACTACGTATAATATTCGTCCATAATTGACCAGTAATTTGATTCACTTCTACACTCAACGTGTCATTATAGGTAATCGGGAAACGTTGAAATTCAAAACATGTTTGCACATAAATGTTCCAACCAACATATCTTACATCCTCAAATACAACATTGGATATATTAGGATCTGAAAATAATGAGGAAAGTGTTTGCTTAAAGGTAAACTGTCCTAACCAGACAATTTGTATCTCAGCTAAATATGTTGTTCATCTTTAAAACATGTTCTCAGTTGTCTCACAAGTTCATGTAAACCAACTAACCAACGCACTTGTATTGTCAACATATTGGACACTTGACTTAAAATTGATGAAATAAGAAAAGTCTAGTAAGTCTACTTAATCTATTGTCGTCTGCAAATTTTGAATATTAAAATAGTTAATTTAATTTTGTCGATGAAACTCAAGACTTATTGAAACAGATTTACAATAAGTTCTCATTAGAAAAGAATGTAATTCTTTGTATTCTTATATCTATTCTGTAAAGAAAGTAAAATAACCCTGTTGGGCACACTCTGCAAACACTGGAAATTGCACAACCAAAATGCAATGCGATTGTCATATGGATGTCATTACTTTCCAGGAAAAACACAAGCCTTAGGACTACAGTCTGTTTAATTAAACGGAAATAGCAGCAATACCTTCCCTTCCGAGAAAAAAAATCCTTAATAATCTCAATCTTATGAGCATCTGTATTGCCTCAAATAAAAACATAACAAAGGAACAACTGGTATAATAGTCTGACCTGTCACAATATAGATATTAATAAATGACATGTCGACTGTGTTTAAGAAAAACGTAATGAATACCATGTTTGAGACATTAAATCTTTTTTAAGGAAACATTAGTTCGTTTCCTGTTACTTTAATCATCCCCGTTTCAGTAATCATCCGTTTCTTTTTTCACGTCGGGTGGTGGGGGGGGGGGGTGATTACAACTAATAGAATCGGCATTTTAGGTTTGCATCAATATTCCAGAACACTTTGGTGCGCTTACAACAATGTCAATATCATATAAAAAAATGTGCTGCAAAGGCAAATATAAATATTATTTTGAAATTACAAAGAAAAGTGTGGCAACACGTTACTTCAGTGTTATTATATTTTTCTGGTCCACCGGTATCATTGATTCAAACACTTTAAGTATATATGAAATGAGTACCGCTCAAGTCGGTGCTAGGGGGCGTGAGGGACGTTGCACTTTTCATTATCCCTCATGTACAGACTCAATCAAACCGAGTCAGTAATATCATGAAATATTGTTATGATTAATGCTTCCGATGGATCACACTTCATCCAGTACTTTATACCTTAACTTTATTCGTACTATTTCCTATGATACCATTAAATATGTTAAACTGACACTATGATTTGAAGCGATTATAGAATTTATACATTACATATCGACAAGCCTTAGAATCAAAGTCCCCGATAATATGAGAGAGCGTGCAGCTCAAACAGGGATAGAAGATAAGTAAATAGAAAACCTTTACTGTTTAAAATTATGTTTATTTGTTGATAGTGTGTTCTCAGGGGGAGATTGTAAGTGTATAAGGGAAAACAAAAAAGAAAGAAATGTTATGTTAATCCCTGCCAGTTAATCCTTAAACCCAAATCAACCATACAAGCATACATGATATAATTGAACTAAAAATATGTCTCTCAGTATTAAATGATATAATATCGTAATGAATTTTGAAATGTTGTATTATTAAACATGTTCGACCACCTAAAAAAATTACTGATGAATATTTTTTCTAACTCAACAAATAAAAATTAAAAATATACTATTTATCATAAAACTTACATATTGCAGAAAAATCATTGTATACCTTTCGTACATAGTACTTTATACGCTGTGCTGCACATACTCCATACACCTTTTGTGTTTTTTTCATAAGCAAGACACTTTCCGTTGTTCTTGCTGCCTATTACACTAGTATCTGAAAGGGAAACGACACAGTTATGACGAATACATAAGAGTCACTGAACTATTCACATTCGTGTCGCTATTGGTCAATTCTAAACTAAACAACAAAAGAAAAAAAAAATAGACAAAGATTTGTGTTCCCTCTGACGTTGATTAGTCCAAACCTATTGGTTAATATATGGAAAAGTAGGTTTTTACAATAAGAATGTTAATATACTTTTCAAGCAAATAAGCATAAGAAAAATAAACGTTCACACACTTCTATAAAAGTATTGAAACACTAATGATGCTTTAAAATGCTAATAAGTAAATTGTAACAAAGGTAAAACAACTTCAATTATGATCATGATACCCGTTTTCATTCTTTCATATATGGACATATAATCATCTCCTCCACCAGCTACCCAAGTTCCGTTATTAGGTGAAATATCACATTTAGGCAGATTTATGTTCTTGCTTGGTTTTTCGTTTAAACAAATACACTGCGACAAAGAAAACAAAAAGATCCAATTAATTCTTTTACAGCAATAAACGTTGTACTGAAAAAATGATATCAGTTTCTTATCACATTGTAAAGTTAGCACTATATCGATATCAAATCACAATGATAAACGTTCTCTTGGATGTATCTATTTAATACAAACATATTGAATAAATGATATAGTTATGCTCATTAATTAAAACATTATTTCTAAACTTTTCACCCAATAAAATTTAAATAATTTAAATTATTCATCACACAAGACGATTTTTTATTATTTTTTGTTGTTACCATGTTGTTTATTACCTTGCCTTTGTTTAACCCGACATATTTTGTATAAGATTTATGACACATTGAAAAGCAAATGCCTGGGGTATTCATCAATACCGGCAATAAAACATCTGGTTCTGTATTGTTTAAAGAGCCACATCCTGTAATATGTAACAATAATTCATGTTTTAAACAGTATATGAGAGCATGTTCGCAATAAATCTTGACATTACTAAACTAGCATAAGCATCTTGGAGTATGTTTATCGATTTTATTTACATGTGTGACCATTCCTTTGTCAAAGAAACGGAATTTCTTACAAGAAAAGCTATATGCTGGTAACAACCAAAAACAATACTATGACATCTTTTCTATTTCCTTTAATTCCTGAACATACTGACCATTGAGTTATTACATACATTGAGAATTGTAAACAGGTTTTTTTTTGTTATATAATGGGACATAAGTAAATACGCAGATATTCTGAAGTGAAACAAAAATGTTTATTCCTAATGACATACAAAAAAAATTAGAGAAATTATGAATCCCAATAGAACGTCTAAAAGAGCAAAATTGAAAATGTTATAGACTCGGTTTGATTGAGCCCGTTCATGGACAATATTATTAAGTGCAAACTACCATCCACTCGCCTAGCACCAGCTTAAGCAAAATTCAAGATTAAACCATGAAATGACAAACATTTTAATTTAGAAACATCCGCTGATAATTATGTTAATACAGCGGTTATCATGGAACTTTCAATGTGACACGTTAGTGCCATTCCATGAAAACCGGCACATGGTCCCCAAATAATAGAAAGCGTCTTCCCTAAACGAGAAAACAATGGGCGGAACTTAAAATGAATTTTTAAAGGCACATTTGTCTTTAATATCAGCTATTACGAAAAAATGTTTTTGCTTAAAATTTGTTCATTTTTTTCTAAGCTAAACTAAATTGTTTGTTGTTATTATGATATTGCTTGCAGGCAAATATTTAAAAAAAAAAGATACAATGTGAATGCAAATGCTAATTACGAATTTAGAACACTTTGTTGATCCAAATCTTATTTGCAATACTAACAACTGTTTATTTATTTTTGCATTTTCAAAGTCAAACAATTCCAATTTAGAAAGAAAATAGCTGCAATGAAATAACAAATAATGAAAGAATCATCTACCATTCCAATTTCTTGCTTAATAAAATATGAATTTCAATTAGTCAATAAGTCATTACCAATGTATGCAAATGCTGTTTCTTTCATGTAATATCCAACCCATGCTTCTTCATTGTCATTTAGGTTAGAAACTTCTTCAACAATAATTGATGAATTATTTACATGTATCTTTGGTGCTGCCAAATTGCCTTTTCCCCTTGCATCTTGCCACGTAAACGATTCGTTTGATAGTACATAATTGGCTGAAACTGCAATGCAAAAATAACATGAGTATAATATATTTTACTGTAAAATACGGTTAGTTAGATTGTATTTCATTCTATTACATGAATATACACATGTGTTCTTTTCAATCTAGAAATGTTTTTCTTATAATTATCTTTAAAATTTTAAATAAGTATCAGGGTCGGTGTATACAGTATCTGTAGATAAAAATATAATAAAAAAAGAAGATTTTAGATGTCATTCTTGCCCTTTAATTTTTCATTGCCTGAAACTTTTATATAAACGAGATAACATCACTCACTTTTATCACAATCGGCGCATTTTTCTTAATCTTTAAAGTTTCTGTTTAACCATTCCCATAAGGATAATAAAAAATCTGATACCATCAAGTTTTAAATATATTTTGACACTTGTGAAATGGTTTGAAACATTATTAATGAATAAAACAGATGCCACATTTGTGTAGAAACGTCAAAAAATATTGACCTTTTTCAGGGACGGTTCAAGCCGCGTGATTGCATATGATCCCGAAGTAATTATGGATAAGTTCATATCTGATAAAAATTCATCGGTATCATATATATGAATGATTGACGTTATCTTGTTTATACCGTGTCTGTGAACTCGTCTTATCAAAGGTGATTTAATTTCAAGTATACGTACGTGTAAAATACCTCTCGTGTTTGTGTTTTAAAAAATGAAAAATGTGCTAATTTGAATGTGTATTCTTTATATCATCTTAACTATGTCATACGATATTTATTATGAGAGCTGAAGCGTATTTCGTATACACACAGTGTAATTACTATTGAAACATAAAAAATGAAAATAAAACTTGCTTCTAGATTCTACAGTAGATCTACTTTGAACATACAAAAAGTAAGCAACCCTGTAGAAGTTAGTGTACTGAACACAGGAATTTCATCGAAAGAAATTTCAAAGAATTATTTTTTAAAAAAATGCTACTATTAGATATACCAAGTGTATTAAAGACATTAATACACGTCTTAGTAGTGCTAGAAGGTGATAAACGGCCATGAAATGAATAATAGCCTCTGACTGAAGACCTTGGGGCCATTTTTCATTTTGAGGGCCGATAATCACCTTCCGGTCCTAGTCTGCCGTGTATTAATCTCTTATTAGATTTCGAGTAATCAATCTAATATGCGATGTTAAATTTATCCATGTTTAAAGCATGGTAGAAAAAAATATTGCATAAACCGTGCAAAATAACCCAATATGCATTTTGCAGAGACATTCAAAAGTATAAAAGTTTCTAAATAGATCAGAGGAATGCTGCTACCTTTTAGCTGTACCGATGTATTTGTATCATTTTGGCAACTAAACACGGCCGGGGCTATAGACTAACACAGACGTTTCAAAATCTGACTGTCCTGCGCAGGACAAATATTTTATCTAGGTCGGTCGTAGTCAAGGTCCTATTTTTCTTCCGGGTTGACGGGTCACGATAGTCACTTTATTCACTATGGCGTTTGCAATTTAACTTGTAGTATAGCTTACAGTGCTATGCTGTAATCTGTTTGCCTAATATTGAAGAAACATGTACACCAAAATAGTTCCAAGTTCCGAACCAAAATGAATCTAGGGAATTTTTTACATTGTATTATTTATTTTAGAAATTTAGATAAATTTTGGAGATGATATTTCGTGAATATTATATGTTTTTTCAAAAGTATACAACTGCGCAATTGAACAGTGTAGTGAATAGTTATCGTATGTTATATAGAACTTACTTGAATAAAAAGTTTAAAGCGAGTGTGATGGAATATGTTACTATCATTACTTCTGTTCGCTTGCATAGAAAATAGATAAACATAATAGTACATCAGGAATCTAGTATATGAATAACACATAAAGTAAAAAACCTAAAAATATGAAAAAATCATCTTATATGCTTACATTTAATTGTCATTTAAACTTCCATACCGGTAATCATTTCTGTACAAAAATCTAATATAACACCAAAGGAATAAATATACCTGTAAATAACTCAGTACTCGATGCTGTCTGTCATTTCAATAAACTGTTAGTATTTTGAAAAAAAGTTTTTGATTTAACTAACTACACGTAAAAAAGAGACAGGGCTAACAGGCAAAATATATATTACAATTGATTAAGTAATAAAATACCGCTATCAGAAGCAACCCACAGAAAAATCCAAAACAAACATGATTCCACCATCGTTTCACAACTGAAAGCGTAAACTTTCCTAACTCCTAACAACTACACTAGACTCGTTGTTTTGGTCTGTGTAGAATGAATTTAAAAAGATAAAGAGTTTACATAAAAATGCGGTAAACAAGGAAGCACGTCTAAATAGGCGAATCGTTTATCTGTACAAAGTTTAAAAAAAAACGTAAATATTATATCCATATTTCATTCTATCTGTCTTCTACTTTATTTGCGATTAATTTCGGAGGCGATTTTCAAATAAACCCCTCGTAGGATCGTCTGCACTGACCTTAAATGGTCATCTTCACGTGCATAAAGTAATCAGGTTTCATTTAAAGGCATTAATTTTAAGGTTATCTATCATTACTTATTTAAGAATAAATTTACAGATATTCAAGCCCCCCGTTTCAGAATCCTAAGCGTTCCGCAACTAATCTGTTTATCTGTCGGTTTTATGTTTTGTATATTACCAAATTAGGATATCGGAATAACAAAAGATGATGTGAATCATTTAAACTAACTGTCTATCATTTTTTTCTAAAAAGATAATTTCGATACGACGTTACAGTTATCGTTCCATTTACAAACAGTTTTCATACAAGAGCATATCATGGTAAATTCGCTAAGCACAAACTGCGTGTATGATATTTGTATATTATTACCTTTGGTAAGTTGTTTATCGTTTGTATGTTTTTTGTTAGCTAGTCATTGGAACAATCAAAAGTCTTACAAAATGCATGTCTGTTTTCGTTTTGAATAATGCTTATGTTATATGTTTGATAAATGCTGAAAGAAATTATATAGTCCATATACTCTAAAAAGACTTGTACCTGTATAGATAAGATGTGCTATAGACCAGGGAAAAATCTGTTCCGCAAGCATTATTGTTGCGTATAACATGTTAACATTTACATGCAAGTAATAATTCCTCAACAAATACTACCTCATGTTTACTTTCTATTTTTTTTCAAAATTTGAAATAATGCAATACATGTACAATCAAATGACAACCACTTCAATCAACATACACTTTATGATTTTGCAATTTTGTACAATTACTTAAAATGGTTGTTTCAAGCACCATCGAATTTAGTCGATTGTAAAACCAATTTTACGGTTATAATTTCTCTTAAGCAATGATACTTTAAATACATGAATTTAAATTTTATACCGCGTTATATGATAGCAATACTTCCGGGTGTGTTTATCTTCGTCAATGTTATCCTGATAGACAGCCTAATAAAGTAGGAATGTCAGGTGTCAAACAATTGATTTTGTTGCTTCTTTTTCGGATATGTGTTTCTACAGGTAATTATAACTATTCAGTTAACCTAATTAGTTGCGTATCAAACATATTATATTAAGCAATTATGTAAATAACTTATGTAAAAAAGAATTGCTTGTACATGTATTATAAAGGTAGACCGTTTTAGGTTTTTCATAATTATAATAAACTATTTAATGTTCAGGAAATGTTTTGTCGTCCCTTTGTGCATGTTGTGTTTTCGAGGCAAAGAAAAATAACAACGTGGTGGAGTAAATCATTTATCATAGTCTAGTGACAAATGATTGTCAGCATGAGAAAATGATGTTAAGAAATATACCTCGAATAAATTGATAACTAGCTTTTAAAGTTCTTATTTCTGTCGTTAGCAGTCCTTCATACTTATACAATGATGTGTTGAACGAAACTAGTAAAAATATATAAACATTGTCATATAAGTTGTTCATAAAATCATGCAACTAAGCGTATGAATTGTAAAACATCTTGAAAATCATGCAAGTAGTATCATGTGATGATAGCTTTTGCTGAAAAAAAGATAGCCGATAGATGGTTGAATGGCTGTTGTACATACTGTTAATTTTACTATGTGACTAAGAAAATTGTATTGTTACATAGGTAACAGTACTTGTAGACTAGTTACGTGGAGCATTTCTAGCACACAAAGTAGCCGTCATTGGATTTTCGATTCAGCCTCTATTTTTTTCGAACTTAGGGTCATCATCAGAGCGACAATAATCACCAGAAAATTTAGTTGTTTGTAACCAAAAGTGCTTTCCGGGTCTCAAACATTGTATGTTTGAATAGTCAAAAGGTAAACATCCGTTAGCAACGGAAGTTATTGCAGAGTAATATTTATCAAAATGAAACAAGCAGATGATTTAAACATACAAAGTTTATACATTTAGATCTGGTTGAAAATGTTCAGATCATTGAAGTATTTGTCTTGGGTAATAAAAGAAATAACACACAGGTTTGTAGACTCCTTCCGGGTGAAATTTTACCAACAAAATTATGTGCTTTTTATAACTATATTGTTTGTCGTTGTTAATATATTTTGCAAGTTTTATCAATACAATCTGTCTTGTTTTTCATAAGGAAGTGAGATGAGTAAAATATGTAAGTTTCAACAATCGATCGCCCGATTTGAAACATGATATATCTCATAGCAGCAGGTGGGCTACTTATATTGAGTTCGCGTATCAAAACATTTTTTAACAATACAGATCACGACTTTTAAAATACTGACAGGTTTAAAAGGAAAATAAATAATTTTACAGATATTTTTTTTATCTATAATCGATAAGGTGGACAATAAAAGTGGGGGTAGCTTTAGCGAGTGATTTGTTAGTTTAAAGGTCAATTAAACCCTAAAATGTTACTATTTATATTGTTTAATAGCTGATTAAATTGTTGTTATGTTACAATTTACCAAAAGATTTCTCATTTACCTTATATCTGAGCCATCTTTATTTTATTTTGCGTTTTGGAAATGAGTGCAGTTATAGTGATTTTGCATGGAAGTCAAAATACCATATTGTTTGCTACTTGTACAGCAATTTGTTTCATATTCAATGCATTTCTTTCAGATGGTAAGCATCTGCAGGAATAACTTATATATACATACATGATTTTGAATTTTGCGTTATTTATATGACTATTCTGGCACCTTAAAAAGTCTATTGTAGGTACATACTCGTACTATGTAGATACATTCTAAATTCCAGATTCATACAATGAATTTATGACATGGGAGAAAGCAAAAGACAATTGCATGTTAGCAACACCGGAGTTTATTTATGATGGTGAAATCTTTACTGTAAATGATGATCAGAACTTGACAAATAGTATGGAAGGAAGGTGGCTTGGATACTACAAAAATATGCGGGGGTTTGAGTATTTTGGTAATACTATATTAATTTAAGTATTCTATCATCATTTTTGATTCTATTGATTCTATATTTTATCATTCTTTTTGGGTTACTTTAAATCTCACATTTACGTCAAAATAAGAATCAATATATTCATAACTGACTTAATATAAATATCATCAATTTGCTTGCTTATAAGGCCAATTTTTTTACATCAAATATGTCATTGCAGAAAAACAGTTTTGTATTATTTATAAGGTAATGAAGTTGATCATTAAAGTTTTTAACGTTAACATTTGTGGCTAAAAATGATGTTATTTGATTTCAAATACATTTAGGATGTATTAACTATCCGGAAATGTTTGGAATTCCACCGAAACGAATTGGAAATAATTCACCAGGAAATTGTTTTTCCGTATGTTCACGAAGAGCAACATTTGTTGGACTAATGGGTCAAGAGGTAAAAATAGTAATTACTAAAATGCTAAAAAATAGAAAGGTAGAGAATCCATAGTTTATTATAAGTTTTGTCATTGTATTAACACATCTAATTCTAATTATTTTGATCTTATTACTAACCAGTAACCATTAATCGAATAAAACTTAAAACACTAAACCTAGTATGCGTAAAAACAAAATAATATTGATTTTAGATATCAAATGTTTTTAAATACATGGACATTATCAAGAGTCTAGTTTTTTTCAACTTTGTATTTCGCGCATCTCGGTTATATGACTTGTTAAAAAAGTTAAAATGTATCAGTATTTCATTTTATATTGTTTGATTTGAAATTACAGATATTTTGTGCTTTTACAGTGTTATTGTTTTAAAACGATCACAGCAGAAGAGAAAGTTGTTAGCAATGCGTCATGTAATGAATCATGTCCGCCACCATCTGAAGGTTTAGCTTGTGGGGGACAATCATTTATTTCTTTATATGTGGTTAATAAAAAAGGTAAGGAAGATGTGCATAGGTGATAAATGTACAAAATATCATATACATCATAATAATATTTAGACAACAAAATGTTTAAATGATATGCGTATGCCCTTCAATGTATTTCACCATATTATCTACTTCACTTGGGTAAATAACCCTCGCACTGAAATGTATAAAAGCATATTGATTTTATAAGGGTCCTATGAGAGTTTTAGTCTGTGTTTAAAAGTTGAAATGAACCTTTTGTGCAATTTAGAAATTATCTATAAAAGCAATACTAAGGATATGTTAATGTTCATCCATGCTAATCTACAGAAATAAGAAACTTCGACGGGAACGATAGCTAAGGATGAGCATTAACATACTTAGTGTCCAGCTTTATTTGTCTTCATTAATATTCACTATATTTCTTCACTACCTGTCAATTTTATGAACGCGGTTCTTAGAGGCACTATGAACAATAGAAGACGAGTATGAATGGAATCTAAATTGGTTCTTCTAAGGAAACCAACACATATAATTTTTAAGAAATACAGCGTTTTCATTGGATGACAAATAAAGCTGGACATCAATGGCCATTAAATTTTTGAGTTACAATAAAAGGAGATGATCGTCATTTGACATGTCATTATTCTTTAAACACACTAGTTATCAAGGGGGAGAATCACGCCATTCGTTACCCAAGCAAACAAGATGGCAGATGCAGCCGAAAAATTAGTTTTTTTCCTTTTTTTCCCTGAAATTAGTAATTTTCTTGTGTAAATGTACATATAATAATCTTCTTCACAATTTTCCGGGCACACAGGATTTAATTTCATGGTGTTTTGTCCCGTACTTCATCTGAAATGCGCGTCACCATAATAGATGCGAGAGAATTTTCCACAGGTTTGATCGTAATAACCTACGGCTTCTTCTCTCAAATTCACTGTTTCGTTTACATATATGCTTATTGACTGAAACCGCTGACTTAAATAAGTTGTAATACGTCGTCATCTAAGCATTCATGACCATTCTGGCTAGATTTACGCTCTAATAATAATATCGGGGCATTTTCCGGAAATGATAACGTATGGCGCACAAAATATCAATGATAACGTACGGCGCACAAAATATTAATGATAACGTGCGGCGCATTTTTCTTCTTGGTGGACTTCCATTTGTCCAGTCAGCTGATAATGAATTATTTGTATGTCGGAAATGATAGATATCTGAAAAAATGTTTGTCTGTTCAGAATTAAATAATTGAACAATGCTGCACCATTGGATATAAATATCTTTCTAGCTGGTGGCATAATAGATATTCGTTGTTAATATACTAACCTTTTTCTACCAATTAAAACACACATGTATAGTTTGAGATTATTTTTGTATAAAGAAAAGCCTCCACTTTCAATGAACATTGTATATTGTTGTCTTCACATTAATGTTCGCAATTATGTTCGTATCCCCTTGTCAGAAAGAAGAAACGCATTCAGCAGAGCAGATATTAAAAAGGTATGGACGGCTAGATATATTTTCTTTTCCGGTTATCATAAACGAAAGGAACGTCATAATTTGATCAAAACAATTACATGCAATTCATTAATTTGCCTATCATAATCTGGCGATACTTTATCTAAAATAATGTTCATACCACCAGAGGTGCCTACGTTAGCGCTCATATTTTGTGCGCCATACGTTCCATTTCCGGAAAATGCATCGATATTTCCATCACAGCGGTTATTCTAGCTATAATGGGCATCGATGCTTAGATGACGACATATTACAACTTTGTAAAGTCAGTGGTTACAGTTTATATACATATATGTAAATGAAACAGTGAATATTAGGGAGGAAGCCGTACGTTATCACGATCAAACCGGTGGAAAATTATCTCGCTTCGATTCTGGTGACGCGCATTTCAGATGAAGTACGGGACAAAACATTATGTAATAAAATCCTGTGTGCCAGGAAAATTGTGAAGAAGATTATTATATGTACCTTTACACAAGAACATCACGAGTTTTAGACAAAAAAGGGAAACACTAACTTTTCGGCTGCATCCGCCATCTTGTTTGCTTGGGTAACGAATGGCGTGATTCTCCCACGTGAGTTATTATATTGTTAAAACACTCACTTTATTTTGATCTTTTATTGACTTTTTTCTTAAGGGAGTACATAATTTTAAAAATCATCATATCTTTACAAATTCAGTTCAAAACTATTTCCATGCCGACAATGAAACTGATATAATTTATATAGTAACTGCCATATATTTCCTTTAAACATAGATTTGAAATTTCAATATATTTTATAAGGAACATGACACAACACAATCAGTTAAGAAGTCTATAAAACAAATCATATAAGCCATGATCGCTCCTATTACATTAGTTGATTATGTTCTTAAAAGCTTATAATTTGTTGTATTTCTAGCTTTCTATATTGCCTGCAATCAATGTGGCTTAAATCTCGTAATTATTAAGATGGCATCTTATCAACACGGATCCTGGACATTAAGATTTTTAAACATGTTTAAATATTTTTACCATTTCAGTTCTAAACATCCGTAAGGTGTTTGGTCAAAATAAAAATAAAAGTAATTGCGTCAGGCTGGAAAGCGACAAGAAACTTTTGTGGGATCAGTGCGACTCTGCGTTACACAATAAATGCTATGATGGTAAATATTTAAAATCTTCAAGTAGTAAATAGGAAACTGAAGCACCATTGTCATCGATCCATATTTAAAATTCGGACAGTTATAGCACATGCCAAAATGTTTGGTACAAATATGTGCTCTATATACGCTTGTTATACAAACACATCTCCCTTTATATGAACTATTTGGTGCTTTATATGAACTATGTGGTGTTTTATATGACCTATTTGGTACTTTATATGAACTAATTGGTACATTTTTTTACATTTAACCTTTGAAAACCTTGTAACTTGCAGTGTTCAATTTTAGTAACAATATTAAACAAATTCATAACCGTTCGATTGGAACAGGGTAAATTATAACAATATGTGACAATTATTTCGCTTGAATATGTAAACTGACCCATAAAACGTCGTTAATTATATTTATTTTATTAATAATAACCAAAAATCTCTATACATATTTTAATGCAACTGTACCTTATGTAAAAGATGTTCAGGTTGTCAAAAACAGCCTAAAACTAAATGTTATGTCTAGAAATAATTGTGTATTCTGACTGATTACAGCAATGTACGATGCAATAATGCATACATTACAACATGTCTTACATGATTCCATTTATGATCCCTAAATTATTTGTTGAACATTTCAGTTTTAATTTTTTTTGTCGTTTTATCTGATTTGTTTTGTAGTGATTTGTAGTTATGTCCTAATGTAAATTAAAAGCATTGATCTCATACTCCCATCAATTTTAGGAACAACAGCTTACGATGTGCCTGCTCCAACGACAGGTCGGCAATATTTTCCATGGTATTGGGCAAATAACTTATGTTTTGGCAGCAATGTTCGACCATTTTTATATGAAAATGCTGTGAACTTTAACGGAACAACTTTAGAGTCTTGGACAGGAATGTGTCGCAGTCTGTCAATCTTCACATTCTCAGGTATCCTTTAGTTTCAATATAGCGTTTTATTTAGTTTACCTTAGTATGCATTTCTGCGTTAAACCTGCGCTTGCAGGAATACATTTACGGAGGTGAAAGCATGCATCAATGGACACAATAACGCGATAACGTATCATTATTGTACGTTCTTTATTATATGAACACAAGATAATCACAAAAGATTGATTTATGAAGAACATATATTTGGATTTTATATCTAAGATGAGCGTTAAATCATAAAAAGGCATAATTTTTGATAGGTTAATTGGTTAAAAAAATAAGCAAAAAGAGTCGAGCTATCAATTTATCTTTTATTTGACTTTTGTTCTCCTACCAGACATTTCCGTGCAAAGAATTTAACGAATCATTTAAGTTTTGTAATTTGTACCTGACGTCAAACTCACGCGTAAAATGCCTTGCAAAACCGGTAAAAAAACTTACAGAATCCCTTATATTTTATCTAATGTCTTTGCTTGTGTGCCCCGGTATTAAATGCGTCCTTATTCATTAGCAGATGTTAATATATAAAATTTTCTTTTAGAACCTATTATAGGAAACGTTCATTTGGAATACGGGTATTTGAAAAGATGTGATGCTTCTGATAAGTACGAACTTCATTTTACTAGAAACATGCAAGAACAAAAGAAATCGCTGTGCAAAAGCGATAGACAAACATCAAAAGAGCAACACAAAACCGGTGATGGTGGAAATTCAGGTACAACTTTATATAAAATAGTTGTTGTAATTCAAATTTAATAAGAAAAATATATGAATAAAAATTTAATTGATATAAAAGACAAACCGCTTATGAAGTTTTTGTCTTTTTCATAAAGCTAAAATGATTATAGACAACAAACATAATAAGGACACTGTAGATAATCATTTTTATTATAAAAACTATACATGCACCTTTACAAAGAATAAAAAAGACGTTAATTTTTTGGAAAGTCTTAATGTAAGGAACCCAGCCTTAATTAAACGATCAACTAAGTTATGATACGAGGGTTGTCCAAACAACTCGTGCACTGCAGTTATTGTCGTGAGAGTTATTGATAGAAAATCATGAATTATATATCACGTGAAGGGGAAATCTGTCTCAAATAAGAAAACAAAAGGAAAAGCCGTGTAACTGAAGTGTCATGAAAACAAATCGTCAAACACTTACCTTGGTAACGAAATAGCGGCGCACGACAAAAAAAGTGGGTTAGTTCATGACTTTGTTGCACGACAGTTTTCTTTAAACACTGCACATTAATGTCAAAATTCGGGGAAAAGTGTGTGTACGTATTCCTGACATCCAAAGAAAAAATGACGTCATTTGCCTTATTATAACGGTCGTAAACAAACATTTCTGTGTGGTCGTCAATACTGTAATTACGTGAAAATTTCAGTCGCTAAACGTCTGGAAATACGGACGATCATAACATTTGGGCAAGTATTGGAAAAACACCGACAGATACCTACAAAGAATTTAAAAGGGCAAGGGTGACAACTTCAGTGTAACGAAGGCTGGTTTTTGAATGGCACAAATGCTCTGTAGAGGGTCGAGAGGAGGTAGATGATGACAACCGGTCAGGCAAACGTTCGTCCATAATGCCGGCGCATGCGTCGAGGGTTGTCCAATATACTCATGCACTGGTGGATGTACGTTGCATAAGATAAAAAAAAAAACTAAAAATGCTTTCCATCAATCATTCCTCTATTGACAGTAAAACAAATTATGACATAATAAGCAAATGCCACTTTACAAGCGACAAAAAATTAATACAACCACAGTAATGAACTAACCCATCTTTTGTCGTGCACCGGTATTACGTTACTAAGGTAACTTAATGACAATTCTTTTTCACAACACGCCGGTTGCACGGCTTTTTCTGATGTTTCCCCTTCAAATGATATATAATTCATGTTTTTTTAATAATAACTCTCACGACAATAACTGCAGTGCACGAATTTTTTGGACAACCCTCGTATAATATATCTTTATTCAAGGGTATTATATATCATGAGAGTTTTGTTACTTCTTGACCACTGACCTTTTGACCACTGACCATTTGACTATAGACCGATTGAACACTAAACTACTACAACCTTTCTCGAAAGAGCCATTTGTATACTTGACTGCGTGTTAATCTGTGTCCAATCTGAACAATACCATGGTAATGTTTAAACTTTTCAATATTACCTCTCTGATCATTCCTTGCCAACTTGTCGTTTAACCGATTCATTTCAAAACCATCTTTTTTCCTCTTCTACCTTATTAAGTAATAAAATGTATTAATATTTTTCATTTCATTGCAAAAAAAGGGTTCCAACGTATACGTAAAGTTTAAAGTTATAGAAAAGTGTAAAAATGCGTCTGCTATACGCTACTTTTAAACCGGTACCGAGTAGATATTTTACTCGTGATTCCGCGGTGGACGCCGCTGTCATTCTTAAGCTATCTTACCTGATGGTTTGCCCAGACTGTAGTTGTTTCTTAAGTCTATTATAATCGTGAACCGCATTGTTAAATCCTCATAACGAAACATTCGAAACAGAAATATGAACGAGGTCAGAACAACCATTAATTTAAGGATATCTTTTGTGTGTGCAACATTTGTTCTGCCATGGACACAATCGAGCTCTGGTGCGGATGTAACATACATTAAAAACGAACCAGAAGACTACCATTACAATAACAATTTGGCATCGCACAGGACAGTGAGACAAGAGCCAAATCGTAGTTAAACAATCATCATTTACATACATTACATTTGAATATCAAGTAGAGTTTTAATATTTAGAAAGAAGCAAATGTTGCACACAGATACATTCTGTTACTTTATAGCAAAATAGTTTGCTGTAACAATTATATTTGCTTTTCTATCATTGTATATTTAAAGATATTATTTGCTATACAAATATCATTCATGTTTTTATTTTCAGATACAGATGTAGGTTTAATTGTAGGATCAATAGTTTCTGCTACCCTGCTTATTGTTACCATAGTGATAATTCTTGTTCTAGGCAAGCGGTAAGGTCATTCTCCTAAGAATGTTAGTTTTTACATGCATTATTTTTCTGTCTCTTCAACATTAAGGGGCTCGGGTCACATAATTTTCCATATATTCGTGTGTGTGCGTGCCTCTGTGTTTCTGTTTGAAGAAGTGTACTTCATGTCCGGCTCATAACCTCTGCATGCTTTATGGGATTAAAAAATCAATACAAATGACCACCATCAGTATACAATATTCAGCGTGCAAAACCCTGATCTAATGTCAAGACAACTTAAGAGGATTAAATTTGGTGAATTTGTTATTATATCGAATAGTACAGTTGAAGGTCTTTTTAGATCTGTAATGTCTGCATGTCAAATGATTCATGAAATGTTGTAAGCGTATACATTTTTTATAGGAGGATACTCTTAGTTCAATGCTGCAAGACAAAAGACCAGACACTGAGTTTTACCAACCATCAGGGTGCTAATGAGCATGTTGTAACAGGAAGAAGGAATTCAAACGAGCTCGCTTTGCCCGGCCAAATTAGTGGTTCCTCATACCAAAATGTTGAAGTACCATCTAGGGAGATCACTGATCCGCATACATATTGTGCACTTGAACATATCGGACGGAGAACAAATAATATGGAAAGTGAATACAGTCAACTGTCGTTATCTTGATTTTGCATGGATTGTCAAAAAGAAGTCATGGTACCAATGTGGTGAAACGAAGTTTTTTAAATCTTTTTGAGGATCTTTTTGAAATCTGGGAAAATTCTTTCTGTCAGAAACTCATGCATGTATATTATGTTTTCTCTTCTGTTGGTCCAAATTGGCCTGATTGGTTCAAGATCACTATGATTTCTATTATAATGATTTATGATTTCTTGTTAATTTTTGTCTAAAGTTACAGACTTTAAATAAATGCTTTAGTCCATCGTCAATGACCTTCATCTACAAGTTTTTATTTTTATGAAAGTTACTGTAATTATTTGTGTATCTGAATACATTGTATTTCATTATAAGCTTATACCAAGGTTCGTTTTCTTTTATTTTTGTTTTATTTCAGTTAAAATTAAATTCGTCGGCTAGATTAAGTTGTATATTAATATATTTAAATAACATGTATATTTCTCAGCCGGAGACTGTCCAATTTCAACTTGACTAACAGTTAAATACACTGTGATGAACTGAATAAATGCAGGATATTAATTGGTCATTTCAAGGCCCCCACGAGAGCCAATTGACGTCCAAGACGCATTTTACTATAACCCTTGTTCGTTCATTTCAGATATAGTCCATATATTACGCGGTCGAAAACCAATCTCAAATGAAAAATCTCTAAAATATTTAAATGAACTATAATGCAATTCAAGTAATAAGTTAGTTATACAATTTTTCCTCCAAAAATAAATTCGCTCGGCAAAAGTTCAGAAGTCCTTGTGAAAGTGGCTGCGCTCTTCAAAATAAAATTTAGAGGTTTTTTCCGTATGATTTTATTCAACACAAAAATAACATGACTGTGTACCGTCTTTAAGAAAATTCTTGTTGATTTAATTTCTATTAGATTGATGCTTAAATCAGTGTCATATATAACATTATCAATTCAAGATATGGTAACAATACCAACTTTGTCATGCAGTGAAAATAACTTTGATTTACACCTAGTTATTTTTCTTATGTGATCATTATTGTGTTTATCATTGCTCATCATGCTTAAATATCTATTGTCGTAATTTAATTCATTTTACGCTAAACCAAGTGATTACAAATCTAGAATAACTGTTTATGATATATAACCTTTTTCCATTTTCTTTTTGTACTCGCTCACACACATGTTCGAAATCTTTGTAAATTGAACTCATGAAGTGCGACCTAATGCAAAAATCGATAGTTATACGTTTGGTCCTAAGTCATAACTCACATGTAAAACTCATTTTTCATTTAAAACAAAACTTTATTCTATATAATTTTTTTATTTATGCAAAAATTTAAACAAATTACATAAAGATAAAGTTTGCGGATTGAGAAGAATCTTAAAAAGCGTTGAAAATAATTTTTTATTATTAAATTAGGTAAGTTTAAACGATACTACAAGCAAATGGTGGACGACCGACTGACGAAATGACGGTTATACACATTAAATCAATCAAAATGCTTTACTTTGAATAAATTTTATATTTAATGAAATTTAATATGTATTATTGCTTTGTAGCGATATCCCTTACCTGAACATGTTGGTAAGTTTGTTCAAATACATATATTTGTTAATGAAAGTGTGAATGATGAATGATTTTGTTACAGCTAAAATCATGCTGAACGACATCTGTGTTTAATGTTTCCCTCTTGCTTGAATTGTATTAAAACACACTTTATTACACACAAGATGATTATCACACTAAAGCAAATCTTGAAAATATGTATATTGAAAGATACAAATGTAAGGAATATGTTTCTTCTATAATTTAATTGGTTTTGAGTCACACCGACACATGTGCAGTCAAAGTCGAGCTTTTCTAGTGGAGGGGGATATTGATCAGATACCTCTACATGCAGTTTTTAAAGAAGGAGCTGACAACGAAGTAAATCCAATGTTTTCTATCAGCAAGCTGAGTAGTATTTGTGCACGAAAAAATCCACAATTCCATTCAGGATTCAAACTCACAGCAAAAGAGAGCCAGTTGTTCGAAGTAAGCAATGTTCACCTCAGTTATTGAGGCCCAAAAGGATACTATCGAATAATATTCATAAATTCGTTTTTGTTGGAGAAACACCTTATATACAATCAATCAAAAAGTTGTCTGCATATATTCTTATGGATGTAATATTTACAAAACAGATATCAATAAAGTTTAACATCTCTTGTCTCTTGGCATTACTGTACTTGTACATTTCATGTTTACAAATATAGTAATGATCTTTTTACAAAACAGAAAGTCATAAATGATAAATTAAATAGAGGATATTTGTTTGTTTGTTTGTGTGTAAGATGAAATTTTATTTCTTCGAGTGAGCTTTAAAAACAGTATTCTCACGAGTGGCATAGCCACAGTTGAGAATATTGCTTTTAAAGTGCACCAGATGAAATAAAATTACATCTTACATAACAAACAAATAAATTTTCTTTTTATTCTATGCTTAAAAAGTTTAAACGCAATTTTCTTGATATTAACTTTAATATTGAAATCTGTTTGCCCCACTGGTAGCCTCTATAGTCGAATTTTTCATAAATTACAAGAAGTCTTAGGGTGAAAAATAAGTTTGACAATCAACGTTAAATGGCGATGGTATTATTCATTTCATTCAATTAACATGAATGATCGCTTGTTTAAATAATAAAAAACAAACAATTCAAGCAGAAGAAAAATCAAACCATCCATCCATATTTCTGTTTCTTATGGCGAATAAGACCTGGCTCTGTGAAATGTAAGCTGCCGCCAAAGGAAAACAAATGTGTTTGATTCAGAAGGATCTAGCATTTGGATTTGTAAGTCATACATATTTTAAGAAGAAAGAAAACTTATTTTAGTATTGTTACAGACAATAAATAAGTGTTGACAGATGTGTAAACATTCAAAAAGCCGCTAGGAAATTGGAATTTTTGAAAGGCTGGCTTACGAACGCTGGGTTGTTTACTTATTCTTCGGGCTGATATCTGTCATTGCTTTTCGAGTTTTTATGCAGTTATTGCTCGTTTGATACTTAAATATGCCAAATGTCACCGAGAGCAGTTTTGCATGTAAAAGGAATTGTATTTTTTAGACTATGAAAATGAAACAAAAATTTAGAGACGATATTTGGTGATTCGTAATTTGAATGAATTTGAAAAGTTTGCTACTTTTTATTACTTTTGAAATTTCACTTATTTATCAATGTCAGCTTTGCTTTTCTCTAAACAGCCTTGACAATGACAGAATTGTCAACAATAATAAAATTGAGGTACCATTTGAGAAATTTTAAAATGTAGTCTCATCATTGAAAAGTGTGAAATAATATTTTGATAATTTTCACTGTAGAATTATCAAATATAATTTTCACGGATAAATCAGTAATCCACTGAAGAGCAAAAAATAAAAGTATTTATTTTCAAGCATATAGAAAATTACACATAATGACACTAATAATTTTCTTAATTTTAGTAGTTAGGTACTGCTTGTCTTGATGGACAGATAGTAAAAATATCATATTAATATTTTCAAACGAATTAATCAATGTTCAAAATCGTTTCAATAAGAAATAAATCCATTGAAGTCATTTACTTTCCATGAACAGTTTTACATATTTTGTGAAGGAATTTTATTGTTTACCTGAACTTGAAATAGGTAATAAGTTAAGTTGATAATCAGTTATGCGCATAGTTTTATGGCTTTCAAAACAATGCGGTTTTTTTTTCTCAATAGGTCCCGTTCAAATAATTGTATGTGTCATCTTCATCATGCAGATTCTATTTGAAATCCCTTCTAACATCATCATAATTGTTTTCTTCCCTGTCAGGAATACCATAAACATTGTCTGTTTTGTTATTTTTCAAGATGTGTTTGCTTATGTGATTATATGTATCTTCTCCAGTTTCGGTTAATTTTTCAGAGAGTTCTTTATCACATTCAGTATTCTGTAGTGCTTTCAGTTTTGTAGCAGCATTCTCGGTGGTGTCATAAACGTTATTAAATTTGGTACCAAACTTTTAATGTTAATGTACAATATTATAAACGTCGCTTATATCTGTTTCATCTTTCCTGGAATTTGAAATATCACCATCGATATGAGATTCCCTGGAGCCAGGTTCAAGAATGAAATAATTATATGCATAATTACTACTGTCTACGTCAAGATCTTGATAAAGGGTTACATTATTGTTTTCTTTAAAATAGCTTATTTGTTCATTTTCAGCTCCTAGAGATTGATTATACAGATTGTTTTCAGCTTTATTCTTAACGGAAGTTTCTTTAAATGAATCATTCCGAGAAGAACTTTTGAAACACGTGTTTGGAATTTTGCTTCTAAAAAGAAAATCAAAACAACATTTATGTACTTTTCAACCGAAAAAAACTATGTTGATTCTTATTAACAAACAAGCAATCTTTACTAAGCGTCACGTCCATAAAACTAAATTATAATACAAAAGCAGTAGCCCCTACATGTATATTGGCATTGGTTTTCTCTCTTAATTCAAAAGGTACAACATGTAACAATATTTCAATTATAATGTTAAATAAGATCTTTTTAAATACGAGTACATATATAAAACATGTTTTCTGTTAAAGATAGTGGTAAACGATGTAATATTTGAACTTTTATTGCAAAGAACATGACATACATTACAAATATTGAAATTTGCTTAAGAGAGTAATAATTCTAAAGTGAGATTATTGTGCCTATACATTTAAAATAAGATCGAATTAATATATATAGATATAACTCTAAATTATTATACCTCACGTAAACTTAAATATTAAATAACCTAATGTGACGTCACAGTGTTATTTCGATCCTGTAATTGAATATTACCAAGTCAATATTTTTGTGCAATATCTCCCCGGGTTCTCTCTCCCTGTCTGCTCTGATCTATGTGCCTGTTGAAAGTCTTCATTTGATAAACAATTTTAGCTAGTCATGAGTACATTTTGTATGATAAATATCACTGATGAATAGCTCTCGGAGTAAAATAGCAAAGCGGTGAAAAGAATTACATTAAAATGCTGAAAAGAATAACACATGTCTCTCAGAATATAACTGCATATAAGCAACCCTTGATTTATATATCGGTTATCTTGTCGCTAATATGCACTTCTACCCTGAGTGACAAGTGTTATCTATAATATCTCCTTCCGCATTTCCCGCGTACGAGGTTGGGTCAATAATTATGTAATGCAACATGAAGTGTATATTTCCTTTTAATTTAACTCGTGAGTCTTGTGTTTTTGTAAACTATGCTACAGCTCTAGGCATCTGCTGGCAAATGGTATCAAAATGTTTGTAGTCGAACTGTTAGGAAATTTATTCACATTTAAAATACCTTTCTTGAGTACCCCGATATAAAAATGACTGGTGAATGATCCGTTAAAAGTGCTGGAATGCAGGTATAGGTTTTTATAACATAAAAGCTTAAGCAAAACTAGGAAATCTGCTATGTGTTTCGAGGTGGATGCATATATCATATATTCAAAAATAGAATTAAGATAGCCCATATCGAAAGAATTTCTACAAAAATACGATTCTGAAACTGAAAGTTGAAAGTTGGTAATAACTGCTGGATGGATACTCGATTTGCTAACATCTGACCGGAAGAAGGAGAGAGTTAAATATACCAGAAAACTGATTGCTTAAAATGTTTCCTAAATGTGAAAATGGTGGGGTTTCTAATATTATGACGTGTGATTAAAGTTAGTTCACTATTTCACGCAGGTTCGCAAGACAATAAGGTTTGGCCCGATCTTTCCTTGCAAGGCGATTGGCAAATGGTAAGAAAGTTCGGTGCGTTAAATTTCGCTATATCCGTGAATCTGTTGTCAAATCTGTCATTTCCAAATATTATAGATATGTCATGTTTAGAAAAATGAAAAAACAATTCAATAAAATTCGTCTTTCGACTGGTATGAAAGGCCTGGAATTTTGCATGACAACGCACACATAGAAGCTACTGTTATTATTTCTTTTTAAAGAAAAGAATTTTTGTCATAGGTATAATTCTGCAAGAGAGATTTTAACAACTATAAAACCTTACACGAAATCCTATTAAAGATTTCTTTAATGTGTATTTATATCGGGTTATCTGAAAATTATTCAACAAAATATCGGCTAAACAAATAATTGTTAAATTATTCCATTTGAATGGAAAAAAGGTTTATTTATAATATCAAAAATGGAATGGGTGAAAAGGGGGAGTTTGGGTATGTGGGATTTATTAAAATCCATTATGATATAATGAAGAATATTATCATATTAAAAGAGTATTTACTGTGACGAGTTTAAAGCCATTTTTTTTAAAATTTCAATCTTACATGTATATACATGGGAATTTTATCCAATGTTTTGTCACTTTGAACTGATGTATTTTTGCATTTCATTATTATCAACAATGTCGCTTATAGGAAGTAAAACACGTTTTAAAAAAAAACGATTGATTGAAATTGATATTAAGTTTATTTTCATTTAATTCTAAAATACGAACCCCTTTTTTATTTCGTTCCTTGTTTTTCACTTCCTAACTGGTAGTGCACTGTGTGACTGAAGCCTAGGGGAGTGGCCCTGAAATGTGACAGAGGCAATGCGGAAGGTAACTAGGGTGCATAAGCCCCCATTTCGAGATGACCTGAACGGCAGCAACACTATGCTGGCACAAACAGGCCCTCTTTATTAGCTTTATTATTGTCACTGGTTACTGTGCATTTAGGTGCTCACTGACCGCTGTACACTAACGTATTTTCGGCTCAAGATTCATTTCATGGAATTATACATTGAAAATTGCGTGGAGGTAAATTATCACAATTTTGTGATTTAAAACAATCATAAAATTTAAGAGTTTGACTGGCAACATTGACGGGGTACTCTTCAACGAAAGCTGCTTTTTGTGCCTTATCAGGCGAGTAGACCCTGTTGGCTACACGCATAAACTTCATATTAAGTGTCACTAGTTTTTTTTAAAGAGATCATATTTATGAAACGCAGGATTACTTCCTCATGTAAAAACGCCTTAACAGTGTTTAAACTTTTTATGACGTAATAAAGAAATATTTCATGCTTAATAAATTCAATATTGATATCAATTGAATAGTTTGGTAAGAGCTGTCAACATTACACCGGTACAGAATGCACGCCCTGAGATCTATGTAAAAGATGAAAGCTGCTTTTGGGCCTTAACAGGCGGATGGACCCTTATTAAGCATATTGTTGGCTACACACATACTCTTCATAGAAGACTAGTTTTTTTTTAGAGAGATCATATTTACGAATCGCAGATTTACTTCCTCATGCGAAAACGTCTTAAGAGTGTATAAACCTTTTATGGCGTAATAAAGAAATATTTCATGCTTGATAAATTCAATATTGATATTAAATAAATCAGTCAATATAATAATTTAGTAAGAGCTGTCAACATTATAAATGATACATGTACTTGTACGATATTTCATGAGAGAAATCTTTATATCAATTCGAGTAGCACAGAGGTTTGTTTTAATTCACCGAATACAATCTTAATTAAAATAACGGTTATTCAAGTACATGCATATGAAACAAATGTATTATGGGCCAACTCATTGAAATGCTGGGATGTGGAATCGGGGATATGGGGACAATTATAGTAGACAATAATATAAAATAATTATCATTTATCATTATTTTGTACAAATTATTCTCTATGACGAGTTTCATGAAAAAAGAAAATACATTAAAATTTCAATATTTCAAGTTTTATAAGACGGTATCTATTTGGGGATTTTATTATATCTATTGTCACTCTAACTCATATATTTTGTTTACATTACATCATAAAATATATTTATTGGGTGAGATTGTGGTGATCAAGCTTAAAGTTTATTTGAACCGATCTTGATAAAATGTGCTTCCTGAAAGTTACCAGTACATGGTAAAAGTTATAAGAAACATTTTCAAACTGAAACTCAGATCTCAGGTATCTTGTTGGCCAGACAATGATACCTAATGCACACCAATGAAAATCCTTAGATTTGAGACCTCAAAAATAATTTACATCTTTTATAACATCATTGTACACATAATTATCATAGTTTCGATATGTACTATGAAAGAGTGTACTGACCCCTCTCTTCAATAAAAGCGGTTTACACCAAGGAAACGTCTGCTTTTCAAAGTAGAATTTCAATGAAAAGAAGAAAAAACATATTACTTTTAAATAGAGAAATGTCTTAAGAAAGCCTTAAGTTTAAAATACGTATCTTTAACAGTATAAGAAAATAGAAATATGAACAATATTAATTCCTTTTTACAAACCACTACGAACTATGTTATTTTTAACAGGGATATATGATATATATACGTAAATTCTCCGTACGATACAGATTCATGTCTGTTTGTAGTTTTTTTTAAAAATTCAAGGTCAATGCTTAGATGTAGTCGTAATGTATGCATTTAATGCATATTTATAACTATGCATATTATGCAGAATCATACAAATGCAGAATTTGCGCATATGCTCTTTATTTGCAACGGCATAAAATCAAAGTAAAGAACATTAATCAATTTAGCTTGACTGAAATATTTTGTTATCGTAAAGGTACAGATAAAGCAGTCGCGGTATTTATTTCGACTGTTTTTTAACTATTCACTTCCTTGTATCAGCGTATCATTACCTGTTTTGAAATCATTTTTATGTAATCATTTAAAAGAGGAAGAACGCAGTCAGAGTATGGTTGTGTAAATATTTTAATTAGTTAAGTTTTAAAATGTCGCGGACATTAGGAGTGTGTTGGATTTTTCTTTGTATTACGGCTGCTGCTAATGGTAATATAACAACTTATCTATATATGCAAAACCTATTGACAGTTTAATTTACAACTTAAATACTATACTAGTATTACCTAGCAGAAACCTGATATTTTTATGATAAAGAAAGTCAGACAACCATGTAAAGTGTACATAAGGGTAAGGTTTTGAAACAATTTGTTCTAATTTACAATATTAAACTTCACGGTGACACAGTTATTTCGAAAACCGCACGTAACTAAACTCTAGTGCAGAAAATAGATTGAACGATAGAAAGAAAATAGAAACCGTCGGAAGGCGGAAAGCAAACTAAATCCTGTCCAACTCGTATATATAAACGTGAAGAAACAACAATGTACTTCAAATTGTATAACTATGAAGAACCTTTTGGATGAAATGTTTTTCAGTAATGCATTGATTAATCACCAAGCATCATCGATTCGGACATTAATCCAATATTGAATATATTTGAAAAATACGCTTGAAATTCTGTCACAAAAATATGCTGATTTAAATTATTCAAAAATATTAAATATTCATAGACAAAGTGCATGTATGTGTTATCTTATAATACTGCACGTTTGTAAAGTCGCTTTTATATTATTAGTTATAAAGATTGTTGACAGGTTATATGGCCATATGTAAATGGCTATTTGTAAATATAACCCGAGCCGATAGTAGATAGCCTAGCGGCTTGGGTTATATTTACAAACAATCGTTTATATAGGCCATATTATCTGTCAAAAATAGTTATAACTAATAATACACACGGCTGCTGTCGATTTATAAAGAAATCTAGCTTTATTCCTATAAAAATGATGCTTTCTCTATTATTAATTCGTTATAATTATTTCTGACAGTTAAATGGTCGTATAGAAATAGTTGTTTGCATATATATACAACATTTTTTATCTAATCATTTAAAAGAGGAAGAACGCAGGAATTTATATTTATATATATATAAACACGAAGCGATAGTGCGCAGTGTTTTGTTATCATTTAAGCTGAGTAACACCGCAAAACGTCCGTACCGCAAAACGTACGCGTGTGGACGTTTTGCGGCGCATATCGTACACATTTGGACGTTTTGCGGTGCATATCGTACTTGGTACGTTTTGCGGCGAGAGTGTGTCTTTGCGTCGCATATCGTCCTTATTTTCTGTATTAAAATATATTCATTATAAACGTTACTTTTATATTATTTCGGGTAAAGATATGATGAAATAAACATTAAAGTGCAATATTTTTGTGATCCTATATAATTCTGACCTTTTTTTATTTAAAAAAAAGAAATATGCTTAAGCCGAGGATGTTTTTCGAATATATTTTTTATGGAATCAAGCAGCAGCAGCAGAGATATAAAAACGATGATATTGAAATAAATGTTATCTTATAGACAGAAAAGGACGGCTTTACGGACGGACGGACGAACCGGGGATTGGACTGAGTGAATGACAAAAATATTAAAATTAAGCTTTGCTGTTGACAATAGCTTTTCATATAATTGCATCAAGAAGTGAGGAATGATATTTTGTGTTCTTGTTGACTATGGAGGTTTGGTTCTACCGTTCATTTTTACGGGGGTTGGATGGGGGCTTTTGACAGCGTAGTCATATTTGAGCGAGAGAGCTATATTGTCATGGAGATGGGGCCTTTAAGTCGCCTAGTTATAATTAAGCAAAAGAGCTTTTGTCGCGTGGGGTGGGGTGGGGTGCTTTTAGCAGCCTAGTCATATTTGAGAAAGAGAGGAAGAGCTTTTGTCGAGGGAGGAAGATTTAAGCCGCATGGTCATATCTAAGTGATAGAGCTATTGATGTGATGGAGGGAGGGGGCTTTAGCCGCCTAGTCATATTTGAGCAAGAGTGCATTTATCGTTTTGTTTGAATGACATAATGTAATTTTATAATTGAACAATGTAATTTTATAATTGAACAAAGCAAAAAGGTCATGGTGGCCTTATATCGCCCACCTACCTATAAAGGCTACACATGACAAGGGTAGATAGCATTGAATATTACAAATAAAAAGCAAGTACATTTCATGTACTTGGTCAGAATCTGGGTAACTGATATCAGTACTCAATTCGGTAGCACATAATTAGACCATCCCATGTCTAATTTCAATGTCGTGATCTTTATTTTTTAAAATAATGAGCTTTTTGTTTTCATTCTGACGCTTCGAATTTTGTGAAGTTAGCAGCCAAGCAGCCTTGCAGCCTAAAGAAAACTAAGAATAGTACAAACCTGCTTACTTGACAAATTCCGAAGCGTCAGAATGAAAATAAAGCTCATTGTTTAAGAAAATAAAGATCACGATATTGAAATAAGATATTGAATGGTCTAAGTATGTGCTACCGATTCATGTCCAATGGCTTTCATGTTTGTACTATCCATAGTTTTCTTTAGGCTGCTAGGATGCAATGCTGCTGGGCTGCTAACTTCACAAATTTTGAAGCGTCAGCATGAAAAAAAAATCAGTATTTTAAAAAATAATTATCTCGATATTGAAATAAGACATGCAATGTTGAATGGTCTAAGTATGTGCTACCGATTCATGTCCAACGGCTTTCATGTTTGTACTATCCTTAGATTTCTTAAGGCTGCTAGGCTGCTGGGCTGCTAGGCTGCTAACTTCACAAATTCCGAAGCGTCAGAATGCATGAAAAAAAAGATGTTAAGATAAAAAAACAAGAATAAAGATCAACAAGGCAAAAGCAATTAAAGTTCAACATCTTTAAAAATGAAGATCACGATATTGAAAAAAGGCGGGGAATGATCAAAGGAAGTGCTACTGATGTATTTCCGACCATTTTCTTTGTTTGTACTATTCTTAGTTTTCTTTAGGCTGCTAGGCTACCAACTCCAGGCTGCTAGACTGCAAGGCTGCCAAATTCAGGCTGCTAGGCTGCAAGGCTGCCAAATTCAGGCTGCTAGGCTGCCACACTGCCAAATTCACGAACATCTAAACATTAACTTATGTCTTCCCTATCAAATTATTAAAGACATTTTTTTATGTTTTGCGCTGATAAAGGCATATAGCCAAAACGTTTGCGAATGAGAAATATTGATAAAATAAAATGAGTATTTTCATTTTCCGTATTTTCACTGTAAAAAATATTTTTCACTGCAGTGAAAAATATTTTCTGTATTTTCATTGGTGTCTTGTCGGACTACTTTCTTCTAAATTGAGCCAATACACAAAATTTAAGGGGAAATCTTTCAAATTGTAATACATGTAACAAAAAGAATATAATTAACAGAAAATTCTAGGTTTTTCTAGAAATGCAGGATTTTATTCCATCTTGTGGTATGAAAATTATCATATTTCACTCGTCGCTACCGCCACCCAAATATTTAATTTCATAAGACTCGATGAAATAGATCCTGTATTTAATGAAAAAAAACTTGAATATCCTCCATATTTATGACTATTTAAAACAAAGAAGATTTTCAACAGGATAAGATTTATTGCTTTCCTTACTGTATTTAATGATTTATTGTAATCATGCAACTTTTATGAGCATTTCTGGGATTAGTTTAAAATAGCATCAACAAGACCTCTCATTTCAAACCGACACAACCATTTTAAGACTTCAGATGTACAAGTGTGACCGTGACTCTTATGCTGGAGACGCTACATGTCGTTAACATATCTATGCTAAGTCCATTCACAAATGACAGTATTATTGACTGGAACCGACAATGTTGCACTTTTATTTTGAGCTTATACATGTCGCTGAAAACCCGACTCTTGCGCATGACATATTTACATATAGCCATTGGGCCCAACACACTAATGTCAAGTGATTTTAAAATCCATTCGGGAATGACAGATTTGTTGACTGAACATTATCATCAATGCACTTGAATGAGAAAAAAAATCATAATGAAGTAAGACCTGTGTCTGTAAATATTGACGAAGAAACAAATATTGTTGAAATCAAGTAAGACCTTGACCTTGAAGCCATTTACCTACTTGTCGCACGTGACACATGGTCATATTGTCAAACCTATAAATGTCAAGTTCTGTTGAAATTAACCTAGGAAAGACAAAATAATTGTTGGCTGGACATTATCATCAACGCATTATTATGAATTATTCATATCATAACTGGACGTATAGCTGAGATATTGACCTTTCTACTAGGACCTAATTCTTAAAGGCGTCTCGATCAGTTCCGTCCATGAACACCGAGCCTGCATTTTTTCAAAATTTCCGAATTGGGCTTTCTTTAGGGATTCTGTTTTTCTCTATTTCGTTGTTAGCATGTCCAACATATTTGTGCAAAGTTTAAAATCCATAAAGAAATAACTGAATTGTTGACTGGACCAAAAATCAGCGCACTTTAATGTAAGAATTACTTTCGAATCGAAGTGTGACATTGACCTTTCAGTTAAAGAACGACAAATTCAATCATAATTCGCTTCACATTTATGCAGACATATTTCAACATTCTTCTATAAATAACAAAGTTATGGATCAGACGGATGCAATGACGAATGGTGGGACGGAACATTTAAACTGTAGTTTCGATTTGATAAAAATCGAAGATAGCTTGTCGTGTAGATAACCAATGTTCAGTAATATAGACATATAGATGCCTTATATGTTTAAGTATTTTGATTAAAAATCGTACTTAGTATAATATACATATTATAAGCCTGTAATCTATAAAATATCTTTCAAAATTATTGTAAAACAATAAGAAAAATAAAAGAATAAAATAAATATGTTAAACTTTGTATACTTCCTTAATGAGGAATGACGCATGCACAAGAGTATTGCTAAATACCAATGCGTGGTGGATAACAGAGCCAGTCTATGTTACAATTATTCGAGAATCCGCCTTAAACTTTCGGAAAAAACATAATTTCACCATTTATAGATCTAGAATTTTAAAATATATTTCACTGATACTCAATGCCAAATTTCTAGCTTTCGGTGCATCTCTGAGAAGAATATTTTAAAAATATTTCACTTTTGGGGTATATTTTAGCTCAGTCTAAGTTTCAGAAGAAATTTGAATGTACTCAACAAGTTATACGCAATTCAAATAAAGCGAAGCGTTTCAAAACTACATTTAGATAAGGCTACGGAAACCCATAAGTGATCAACGTTTCGCTTGACACTCATTAGTTTGTCTATACCAACGTATCTATATTGGAAAATTGTTTCATTAAATATTCATTTCTTACATCATTGCAGTTACAGCTTATTATGTCCTTTCAAATGAAACTGCCTCGTGGGACAATGCAAAAGGTAGGGGAAACTTTGCAACACCAACAATTCAAGGGAATAACTCTTCTTGGTTTATTATCAATATAACATCTGACCTAAATGAAAATGAAACAGCATGGGTTGGATATTATAAGAAGGAAACAGCCTTTGCTTACATTGGTAAGTTCTTATTATATATCATGTCATTACTTGTACATAAACAATAGTTGGTAATTGCTTGTTTTGCCATGCCTTAACAGCAGTATTCTTGAAAAAATGAAGATTATGTACGTATTATCAATGAAATCAAACACTTTTTAAAGTATCATGAACAACAACCTTCACGTTTATAAAAAAGATATATAAAAGATATCGGAGTATATAAAAAGATAGAGCAAAAATATAAGATAAAACCATTGACCATTACTTTTGACCTTGATCTTGAAATGAGCGTCTGGGTTTAATTTACAATTATTATCATCATCTTCATATATTGAATATGTTACCGGGGCGTCTCCTCAATGCTTTCTCTGATTTTTTATTCTTTTTTTTGCGATCGATATTTTGTCAAAGTTGGACAGCATTTGATAATCATGAACGTTATTCCAACGGGTCATAAGTAAGAAGATAAGTAAGAAAGGATTACTTGATAAGCCTTTTGATCTTGAACTGTAACATACTAAATGCGAAACCTAAAATATAAATTGCAGATGTCGTTTTATTGAGCATCTCAAAAGATTCAGAGAGGACACATCATTGCTGGTTTAGAACTGTTACCAAGGACTTTGAATTTCATTTTCTTGAAGAAGCTATCTAGGTTAGCAAATGAAACTTCGATGGCTCTACTCAGGTGCCCGCTCGTGCCTGAAATAAGGCAAGGATGGGCACCTATTAAGGTCTTTCTCTAACAGTAGAAAGCCTGTGTTGAGTTTCTGCAACGTAAAACCCTACCCAAATATAAAAGTTGCGTATTTCAGGATGTAGCCTATTAAACAAAACAGTACCAAATGGTTTGTTGCCGACAAGGAATAATTCCCCAGGCAATTGCTTTTCATTGTGCAAAGAAACACATCACAGTTATATTGGATTAAACAAAGGCAATGTAAGCTCTTCGAAGAAAAACAAGATAATATTTCGTGTTTATCTGTAAATATCATTTTGTCTCCAATAAAATACTACGGAATAGCACAGTTGTTTAAAACGTAATTTTACTTTCAGCAACTAGTTTGTATTTTCAAAATATGCCAAGGCTATTAACTAGTTTCAGCATAAGTATTTTTATTTTCTTGAAATAGCATATAAGAGTAAAAAGAACTGTTTAGATGTTCATTTTTGTATGTTGTTGCAGTGTTTTTGCCTAAGTGAATTACCAAGTGAAAACATAACATTGAGTAAATGTGATATTTCTCCTAATGGAGATTGGATTGCTGGTGGAAATGATTGTATGTCATTGTACCAAAAGATCAGAGCGGGTATTATGATAGTTTTAATAATTGTAAGATGAATAACTTTAAAATACTATTTGTACAAAACCTTAAATTTGTTTTAGCTTTCACTTTTAATAAGTTTCGCTTCTAACTTTACCATTTGTACCGCGAAACATAATAAAATGGCAGTAAACATGTTTCTGTTGGTAAGGTATTCCATCGTGTATATCCAGTAACGCCGGGATGCGAAAATAACTAAAAATAATAAATGAAGGATACTAGTACCTGGCAGGATTTACAACGACGTAAGTAAACTGGCAATTTTGTTTTTGTGTATTACCGTTTTGAGTGTAATTTTGGCTTTTTTCGACTCTTACGAGGTACGTGAATAAACATAGTCTAAAGAGTGAGAACAATAAACATTTCTATAATGAAAAAGGCATTTTTTTTATAACTACCATCTCAAAAGATATTCAGAAATTGCTATTTATGATAAACGGTTTCAACACCGTTGTATACTAAAGTAAGAAATCTAGTAATTGCATTGCTTCGTACTCATTTCAAGACATATATTACGAAGCTTATAGCTCTGTGGTTGCAGGGACCGATTCGGTGTCTATATTTACGCAATCAAACTAAAATCAATTCTGTATGAAGTGAATTAAAGTTCCCCCTACAAAATTTTTAGAATAATGCTCATACTCACCGATTAATGGCGTTAAACACGTGTAATAATTCAGAACCATATATGAGAAAAACCTCATTTTCCGGTGTTACCGTGAAGCACTATCCACGTACATCGGCGTAACCTTATAAAATAGAGTTTTAAAAATCACATTTTATCAGCTTATTTTCAATTTTCTATGCCACCAGGTGTTAAGAAAATGTCATTTGCCTACCAAAAGATCGAAATTATACGGTATTATCTGCATTGTTGTACTAATAAGAGTCGACAAAAAACAAAATTACACTCAAAACGGTAAGCATGCCATCATTTTCACGAATGATCTTAAAAATTAAGCAATTTCATCGAAATAATCTTGATGACGGTAAATTAAAGTATTACGTCTTTGCAGCCGTATACGGCTATTTCTTTTTTCAGTTTGTTTAATGACCAGATTACTTACCGCGTTGAAAATCCTGTCAGGTATCCGTTATTTATTGCACAATTCTGCTTAACTTTTGCACAAATCGTTCATAATTTCACATTCCGGCGTTACTTGATATACACGGTGTAATCGTAATCGACTTTTTCTTCTTAGATATACATGTTACAAGAGGCGGGAATAGCGGAAAATGTCTTGTGTTTGAAGCAACGAATAATTATCTTTATTGGACACGGTGTGAAGAAAATGACAAAAAACTATGCAAAAATGGTAAGTGTTTTCAAGAGACTCAAAAACAAAGTCTGTACTTTTCAACTATTCAGTTTCTTTTATCTCATTGAATTAACAGTATATTCTTGATAATTTACAAATATTTATTGTATCTCAAATTTACATATTGCTTTATATATTGCATTTTCTATGTACGGTTGTTCATCGTTTATTTCTATGCATTTTTAGTCGGTTAACATGACGACATGTTAATATGTAGACAAATGTACTATAAAATTTCTTGATAAGATTGGTTTATATATTTAACCAAATGGTTAATTATTAACAGAAAAAAACTTAGCACACCGTTGACTAGTGCTGCACTAAGACGGCCTAAGTACAATGCTCTGTATCAGAGTGTTTTAATTTTGTTTTGGTTTTTTTGTGTCAAAAAAAACAACAACAGATTACTGATAATTTCTTTAATTTTGACTACTTTAATGACTTTAATTTATTATTTCACACTTTACTATAAATTTCTCAAGAAAAAATGCAAGAACTGGAAGAACAATGTATGAAACGTGTAAAATAATAAATGAGAGTCATTAAAGAAGTTATAAGTAGTTCAAAATAAACAACTTAACAGTAATTAGTATTATAAATCCCCCATCCAATTCAAAATATTTATTATATTATATTTATTATTTTATTATAGTCTGATCTATACATACATATACAATTAAAACAATATACATACAGTAAATTGGATAGCCATTCTTTTAAGAATTATAACAGACATTTACAAGTAAAACAGCATATTCCAAGCATTGAATGTTATACTTAAAATAATTAAATTGTACTAATATTCATACCTACAACATAACTGTATGAGTAATTACATTAGGGTTGTTAATTTTAAAATGGAAGAATGAAATCTCATAACTGTACTAAACCCTAAATGGTTATCTCCTTATAAATGTACTAAAATCATCTATACCAACAACCACTGACCTCAACTTAAAATCTGTCATAAGAAATTTGTTAATAAAATCTGAATTTTGTAAATGTGGCACTATTGCGCTTATTAAAAAATGTCTTACAAAATCATATATCACTCATGGTAAGACCATGGATGAACTGGCCAGTAGTGATAATCACAACAGGAAGATAAAATATTCTAGTTGGTTTAAAAATACATTTATAACATTTATACAATAAATGTTCTTTTGCTATTAAAATGTTCATTTTAGGCAAGAGGTGAAACACATACATCATCAACTTTAATTTTTTCTTGAAATTAATAATGTGTATCCTCACCCTCCACCTAAAATGAAGCAATTAAAATATATATTTATTGGTACAAAAAATCTCTTCTATAATTAAGTATATCGTAGAAGGATTCTGCAGTATATTTCAAATTGACAATATCTTCATTTGACAAGAGGAAGCAAAGCTTGGCAATATCGTTACAATAATTAAACAATTGAAAGTACAATTTTCAGCAGCATTTTCAAGTAATTTATTGAGAATATCAGTGTACTGGGGGCAATGCAATCATACGTGCATCACATCTTCGATGTCATTATTACAAATAGAAGATACTCTATCGTTAACATTTAATCTTTCGTATCTGCCAATCTCCAATCTGATTGGTGCAACACCACATCTAAATTTAGCCAATGCTGACCTATGGCGATAAGACATAATTTCATTGACATAATGCTCCTGTTCAAAATCAAACTTAAATTTCTGATATAACCTTAACTTGTTTCTACTATCACCAGATTTACTAAATATACACTGAACTGATCTTGTCCATTCATCTATCAATACATCCATTGCATTCTTCACAATTGTATCAACAACTAGATTTTTATTCAGTGGTAATGTACAGTCACTAAAATCTACACAACCAAATTTTATAATGAGGTTTGTAATCCTAAAATGCCAGTTGCTACAATTTCTACTTGCAAGGTGATAACAGTGTTTTGATATCTTGACATTACCTCTGTTTGATCCATATTTGACAATTTCCACCAAAAGTTACCAACACATTTCAATTGTTTAACATAAACTGGATCCCAAACTATATCACCGGCTACAGCAGAGCTTAGAGTGTATTTTCCTGTACCTAAGAAAAATCTCATAGCAAGATTTTCCATAGCTTCTATACAAGAGAATACATAGTCCCCCAAATGGCAGCACCATATGCTATATCTGGCCACACCATTGAGTCATAAATCTTTTTATATGCATGATGAGGCATGCCACCTAAAAGCTTAAATTTTGCTATTAAAACACCCAACGTGTGATACAAATTTGGCAGTAATATTATAATTCAAATGTTCAGTAAGAACCAAGCCAAGATAAATATATTTATCTACAATATCCAATCTAGCATTATCACATGAAAATTGAAAATTTGTCTTACTAGTAGATACGTTTCTAAACTGAACAATATTACTTTTCTTATCATTTATAGTCATCTTATTTTCATAACACCAATTTGATAGGCAATTTAACATTTCTTGGAGGTCACATGCATTAGAGGCTAATAATACTTCATCATCAAAAAGTAAAATTGACAATTTTTTCACCATCTTCTATGTCAATAACCATTTCCAAAGCCTTGATTTTGATAGCTAAATCATTGATAAAACAATTAAGCAATATTGTAAATAAAATACACCCCTGTCTTAAACTAAGATTCACATTAAAAAAATCAGAAAAGTTTTCATTTACTTTCACACAAGAAGAAACATTACTAAAATTTGATTGTATAGCAGTGTACATCTTTCCTTTAACACCAATATTGTTAAGTTTTTCAAATAATATCGTTCGTTGGCACAATCGTAAGACTTTCTAAAATCTATAAAGGCTGCAAATGTGCATTGATTTTCTTTATACGTGATTCGATGATAGAAGAAGGAGATGGTATATGCTGTTTGTACCAATTCACGGGACCGTACAACTAGAAAATCACTGTACATATGTAAAGAATCATGACCCACCAGACAGTAGTCTACAACAGAATGTCCCTGTGGTCGAATACAAGTAAAATCGTTTTTCACACCATTTCTACCATTCATAATTATTGTAGCAAAATTCACATCAACTAAAAAATCAACAAGCATTTCACCATAGCTATTACAAGTATAGTCTACTACATTTCGTTCTGGTAAATCATCTATACCTTCAATAAAATCAGACAAATTTCCTCATCTACCGTTAAAATCACCCAAAATACAGATTTTACCTTAATTTTGATATTCATAAATACTAGTAAGTAATTTATCAAAGAAACAATTAACTTCAATGTGTCTAGTCAACGAATCAACTATTGAAACATGATAGTCTATAAATAGTTCTTCTTTAACAAATATTCCTACGCCCCCACAACCTGTCCAAGCATTGATATGAATATCAGTTCTATTATTACCGTACCATTTATAACCAGTCATGTCAATAATATCGTTACTTCTCAAATGGTTTTCTGCACTACCCATAATGTCTAAGTCCAGAATACTGATACATGTTTCCCTCAATTTAAAATTATCAGAGTTAAAATCATTTTTAAAACAATTAACGTTCCAAAATCCCATTTCCATCAACGATGGCCTCTCTGACCACGACTCTGTCTTTGTCCACCTCTATTTCCTCTGTTACCGCCCCAGTTGTTGTCCCTTCTACCGTACCACGCTCCATTGCCATTTTATTGATCCTTATAGGAATTACCGTCTATATCGTTACTCGCTTCCGCACTCGCGGCACCACCATTTCGAAAACCGGCATTACCCGAGGAGTTTTTATTTCCTTTGTTACCCGATGACTGATTTCCTGTATAACCAGATTCAAATACTCGAGTGCCCACGACCTTCATATTAGACCGACCATTGTTTATAGCTTTAACATGCATACGCATATTAGTAGACAACTGCCTCTCTTCTTTGTTTGGTAGCTGTTAATGTAGACATTTTTATAAAATAATGTCTCTCCAAGTTTGTTTTTTGCTTTCAGAATCTTACTTTTGTCCTCCTGACTTCTACACTCACAAACTACAATTCCTGGAACATTCTCCCTCGTATATTCCCTTCTATCCACATTAACAAATGAAATGTCCGGTATCTGCAATACTTTTTTCACCAAGTCTGACATTCTTTTTGTAATATCTTCAGAAACATTGTACGGTAGATTCCGCACCACAATATTGCATGTAGTATCTTTGTTGCTTACCGAAGTTTCTGTAGTTTGGAATTTGGCCATCTCTTCCAACCGCTGATTCACGTCTTCCATATCATTTGTTAGTTCAGACTTTAAATCACTTAGTCGGTTTTTATACCTTGTGAAGTCGTTTTTTAATCTTTGACACTTCAGTACTAATGCGTTTGTCAAAGACTTTTATCAAAAATACATAATAAAAATACATACATAATAAAACTTCATTGATGTAATACTCGTATATGAGGTACAGAAATACATTTGAAGAATATATGATGTAGTTTTATCTGCCAAAAATTATTTAATTTGAAAGAAAATGGTAATTTTCATATTTTTACTACATTTGATTCCTTGCACCGCACCATTATTTGAAGCTATCACCATTGACATTCTTACCATTAAGATATTCCTTTAACAGATTCTGTACAAATTATAAGGGGACCTTTTACGCACACATTACTAGACTACTTAGAAATATCACATTGTGTCACAACGCGAATCCTAAAAACAGCGCCAAGGATACTCAATAAATTACCGGTACTTTAGAACATTGACATTTGGCGAAACGTTTATGTATGTCACTAAGAAAATGCAAAATTGTTTTTATTTTATTTTGAATTTTCAACATAAATTATGAAAAACTTTAAATATCGGATCTCACAAGAGTTGAAATGTGATATTAAACTTTATCAAATTGTTATAAATCGATGTTATGGCCAGATTTATAACATTGTCCTGGACAAGTTTGTCAAAGTTTTACTTTTTTAAATTCGTTTTTCACATGACTAAACACATTGAAATTAACATTTAACATTTGTAAACGATTTTGCAACTTCCATATATGGCATTTTCACGGAAATGGACAAAAATTAATAGGCGGAGCCAATTTTCACGAAAGCAGAATGTAAAGAGAGATAACTGTTGCTGGTACAAAAATATTTCAAATGTCACATAAATCAACTGCATTACAGTTGACTTAAAATATCCTCTGATTTTGTTAAAACGTAGTCTAGCACAGGATATTGAAGTAATGCAAAATTGGTTCAGATATAATGTAACAACGTTTATACTGATAATGAGCATAATAATATACAAAAGCTAAAGTTGGTGAATTAACAAAAGGGAATGTTTCCTATTTAATAAGGACACAAACCACATATGGCGCTTAGCTGGCTTTTCATCGACTTCAAACGTTACAACGTTTTAAATTGTTGAAGAATTCGTACGGATGTCTTTTACATTCAGCAAAAAGTACTTAAATGCGATACATGGAAGTCACTTTTGGCAACACAACTAAAGAGAAATGAACAGTAAGCCCGTGCCTTCTTTCTTTAAAGGACTATATGGGGTTGCTGCAAGGTAGGTTTCCGAGACTTTTTAAAACAAGACAACAACGGAATTTCTCATACGTTATTCTCGGGTAACTGTTTAAAGGAAACTCGGCAGAGCCTCGTTACAGCCGTAAACAGTTACCCTCGAGCTAGATATTCTGGTGTAAGCCAGTGTAAGATTCTTATATCATTTCACATTTACAAAATCGTCGCATTTGCATAACAGCTATTTTGCCGTTATATGCTTATTTAATAGGGAGTGATAATATGACATCCCACATCTTCACAGTCTCGTAAAGTTTATACAATTGTACCAGAGGCATTCTATATGTTCGCAACATTTTCTCTCCTAGGACCAAAAAGTTGTATTTTTGAGATATTTACTAAAAATGTATGTTGTCAACACTTAGATGAATGAGTTCACACTAGACTCAGTAATCAAAAAACGGTAGAGGAAAAAGGTTACCAATGTGGATGATAAACTCAATAAATTATCGTCCGACTTAGATAAAAGAGTTCTTACAATTGAGGACAAATTAATTGCTTTAAAGAACACGGTTGAATTACACGATTCTAATTTCGATTAAACAAAAGGCCAGGTATCAATTTTACAGTCTGAAAATAAGAATTTTAAAGAGACTATTACAGATATCCAAGCAAAGTCTATAATGTGCAATTGATCCTTGTTGAGATCAAAGAAACAAAGGATGAAACAAATGAGACGCTTGGAAATATTCAAAACACTTACAGAACGATTTAAAGATTCCGGATCAAGGTATTGTTAGGCTAGAAATTGAAAGTAAGAGACGAATTGACCTTCGGGAACAAAGCAGTCCGTATGGGGCGGTACTCCAGAAATAGTATATATTCCGCCTTAAATAACCATGGAAACGCCACAGCGGCGCGGTTCAAAACACGTGACGCATGTTGATTAATAATAATCAAAGTGCATGATACAAAAATGTATTATGTCCAAAATTTGCCGGGATTTGGTGTAAAACCCGAAAAATGTCATGTTGAAATTTCACGCCATTTGAACAATAATAATATTTTGAATAACTGTGTCAACCGTTTGTAGTTGTAACGTTATTTATTCGTAAACGTCGTCATTAAGAGCTTTCAAAAAGAAATTCAATAATTGTAAATATTTACGTTTTTTTAATTCCGAGTGTATTAAACATTCAAAATTATAATTGGTACCTTTGTTATATGAATTGTTCTTTTGAAAGAATTATACTAAACCTGTTCAATGATATATCATGCTTAATAAAGGCAGGCACCATATTTTGTATCTAGCAGTGAAGTATAAAAGTATTACAGGTGTGACATGAGAGAAGTAGTCAGGTCATAGCCAATGCTCATCGAGCAAAATAAAGCATATGAAGATTGCAAAGATAATTTTTATAGTCACTTTGAAATATCCCTCATACATTCCTTATAAGATATTTACGAATCAAAGTTGTTCAAACTTTGTGAAAATGTTGCAATACTGTTTTTATGTTAATATTGGTATATAATGTGTTATCTTACATCATAAACGTTAATTACATAATTATTAAGAACTAAAATTGGTTTGCATTTTATGTATAGGAACTATAAATTTAATAAAGAAAAAACTGTTGAGGGGCTTAAAGTTTATAATACAATTTAAAAAAAATTCATTTACAACAAGTCTGTTTTTGCAAACATTCTATAAATCCACATCAGTACCTCAATTCAGCTTAATAGAAAGGGAACAACTTTTATTGCTATTTCTTTTTTTTTTCTGCGCCAATAGCCAATGCGATTACATTCAAAAGATTGTCTTGAAAATGTTTATACATGTACATCCTTATTCCACCTCGATTGAAATTTCAAATATATTTATATATATAAATATATATAATAAGAAAATTATAGATTAACAACTTGTTGCACATAGTGCAGTTTTTTGTCTTTTTTCAGGTTCTGCTATCGTTTCTGTCCAGTATAACTCACAAACATACTTTTCGTGGAAGCATTATGTGAAAGCTTGTTTCGGAAGAAACTTGTCTCCAATCAGCTATAATGACACCTTGAATTCAACAAGTATAATCCAGGCTACAAGTCCAACATCGACAAATGTTATTCGCAGTGATGCAGTATATAGATTTAATGGTTAGTTGAAAATTATTTCTCACGGTGAGCTTTTATTGTCTTCCAAAAATTGTTCTAATGATCTTGGTTCTTTGCCATCTGGTTCGAAAGAGTTAAAATATAAAAAAGGGGAAAAAGATCAATAAGGAAGGGTAGCATTCAATGAATGCATTCCAAACACAATACATAATCTGAAATATACTGACATGAACTAAGATATATTACTAACGAAACGGTTAGCATCTTCTAAAGAAAATCTGTCAAGTTCTGTAAAAAGCATCTTTTGTCGAAATTGGCTTCTTTCAGCAGGCAACTGGTTTGTATAGAGTAATACTTAAAAAAAAAAATAAAGTCTTCTTTAGGATCGATCACAAGGCTCTTATGTAATAACACTTGGTTTCCCATTAGTGTTATTGTACATTTTAGTAAACGAAAGCATCGTTGCTCGGAACAATATGACCAAGTTTAGAAGATTTTCCTTAATAGAGTATTTATCTTCCCTTTGTGTCTTTCGTAGTAAATAGACTTAAAAGAAGACAGAAAGAACCACATGAATTTGCTTTTAAAATTGCCAAAAAGTTAATGATAGGTAGAAATGTTTTATGGACCATGATAACAGTTAAATAAATAAGTGCCCCTTAATAAATATTCCTCCACGGGTTTGAATTATTTACATCATCTTAATGTAGAAATTAACTTTGGAATATTTTCAGAAGCTATAAAGCAATGAAAGTATATACTTGTCATCATGAAGAATTACCATGCGGTCCCGATGGGCCAAAATACCCTTGCTCTTTAGGCATCTCAGTAACATTGATTTGTACAGGCAGGATACATGAGCTTTAAAATATTTTCCATGGTCCGTTTTTTTCCGTTTTTCCATTTGTCCGGAACCACATGCCTAAAATTCTATGGAACTATTCCCCTTTTAACATATAAATGTAGATATATATGAGTAAAATAAAGTTTCTATATCATTAACTGTTCCTACGTACACAGTATTAAAATCAAAATCACTGGCTTTTTATTTAGACCAAAGACAAAAAATGAAAGATAATTTTAATTAGATTTTTGAATTAACAAAACCAAACGTTTGAAGACAATGTTTTCTTTCACCCAAAAATATTTTTACTTCTTATTTGTCATATTTGTTTTTTTTCTTTTTATTTTTTTTTAAACATAAAAGTAAGTCTGGTGTCAAATATTGCAGTTTATGAAACAAGTAATTATTCAATTAAATATGATTGATCACGACAAAGACATTCCATTCATTTTCATTACCATGGAAATCTTTCACATCTAGAAGTTTAAGAGATTGATTTTAAATATAAAAATACTTATTTTAATGAAAAATAATTTGTTTCAACTGAAATCATCATATGGGTGTTGTTTTTGCAATTCTAAAAGTAGAGGAGCAATATCACAGTTAAGTTTGATCAGAGCTCTTATAAAGATTATACGGTACCTTATCCTTTCAGTATTCATAAAATTTAAGGGTATTGTCCTAACAGTGTAGAATTCAGAACGATTAGTAGTATACATCTTCTACAAGGAAAATAAACAATGCACTCGACATTAAAGTTTAACTAAAACCTCAGATTGAAATTCGCTAACAAACGTTCATCTTATTGATAATATTCATAATTGTAAATCAAAGTTATGACAATAAGTGACAAGTAAAGGTGGTTGCACTACTTATACTATAAATTTACATACTAGACATTTAATATGGAATTGTTATCATATTCCCATTGAATTACATAAGGAGAATAATAAACTTAAATTGATAGATAATAACCGACATGATTATTTTCCAAATCTTTTCGTTTAATTTCAGAGAAACCAAATGCAATCAGTACAGATGACAGTATGAAGTATGGATATATTACTAAACGTGGGAACATTACATTTTTACTTTTCACTGAAACTAGTTCAAACAAACGCTATCTGCTTCAAATAGGTAGGTTTAAGCTTACTTGTACACAACAATACTTTCAACTATACATTTGAGTTTTGTGTAATATACATAATGGTGATTGTATCATTTAGTATAAATATATGACATGCATGAGAAATTGATAACGCTTTTTTTTATTGGGTTGTAAATTTCTCTTGTACATTGGATTGACATTACTCTCTGAACCATAAAAATGCAAATTGGTCGATTGCTTTATCGGTAGAATGTTATGGTTGTCACAAATGTTCGCTTATTTTAGTTAGCTACAATGTACAGGGGGTTCGATAGACAAAACATTTACAAGGACTGTACATTCCCTCCTTTTTGACAATTATTTATCGAATTCATTAGGGGATATTTGTTTGATTGTGAGTTAAAAATGTTAAATATCACACCGATTAGAGAGAAAAAAATGCAGTATTTTTGAATGCAGTAATTTTTACGAATGCGTAGCGCGAGTAAAAATGTGGAATATTCTTTTCACATCGATGTGTGATATATTGGTCTTTTTTGTGGAATGTGTCAATTTGGTTTTTTCACTGTTTTATAAATTCAAACCTCTGTCACCTAACTCAGTTTAATAAAGTGTTTTCAGTGATGTAAATTGAATTATAATATTTACGGACAAAAGACGTCAATAATTTGTGAACACAATTAGGTGGAATAATAACAATGCTGCAAAATTACAATTGAGTAATACCGGTACAAATAATTTATGACTAACAATCAAAATCAATGGTATTATAGACAAGACACTATATCACATTAGTTTACATTAGCCCCTTTATTCTTTAAACATTTTTAATCATACCTGCATGTTTACTTAATAATTGTTTCATCTGTATTATAAATACGTCACGATTAATTGGTGATGGACATTTATGTCTTTGCCAGAAAAACTAAGCTTGATTTTCAGTTTCGCAACCACATCAACAACACGACAACAAACCAGATATCCTTCTTAAACTTTTTAAATATTTTGAATAAATAAATAATAAAAAAAAAAACAGCAGCAAAAAAACTGTCATTATAATTATCATAAAATCTGTCATAACCTGGCCATTATGAGTCATTTTGGGAAATGTTTTGGTGACAGACAATTTCTGAAGTAAGAATACATTTTAAAGATGTAAAACATATTATCTATACATTACCATATAGGTGATTCACCTATATAATGACTAACCAGTTTTCGTTCTCATTGTTTTGTCAAATAATTTCAGATTCAGAGACAGGATTAAATCTACACAGTGAACAAATACGGACAACAACCACACCGACATCAACGACCAAAACTTACACGAAAACCACAAGGTAATATTCACAAAATATGTAACTATCATTTAACGTGAATAATTGGAAATATAGCCTGTAAATGAATTCTTAAAATCTGCATAAAAATTATATTGAGATATTTATTTATCAATTGACTTGTCTCCTTCTGCTCCTTAGCATTTGACTTTTTCTTTTAAAGGAGTCATGAACATTAGGAATACGTTTTTTTCATGTCAATTAAATCCTTAAATTTTTCAATAATTTGGTTTGATTACGTTTAAAAATAATTTTGTTTTGTAACTTTTTGACGACAGTTTTCCCAAAATTTTTCCCAAAAATTTTTTAATGGGAAATTTTTCCCCTTAAAATCATATTTAATTTGAAAAAAAAGAAAAGATAAATGAGTATTCCCTTTTTACTATCAAACGCAGATAATGGGGAAAACCCAAAAAATTCCCTCATTTTCCAATAAAAAATTTATCTATTCCAATCCTCCACACCTTTAGGTTTAAAAGATGGATCACGAATGTTTTAGAACCCTCCCGTCAATATCTTTTGACAAAATATTGGTGTTTTGTTATGTCAGTTATGAAAACCCTTTTTGTTTAACGGGATATTTTAATAGAAAAAAAAGCGAAAAACAGGTTTTTCTAATTTGTAAAAGGGGAAATAGCCCCAGAATTTTAAATCCCGATTGCCGAGGTTTTTTTTTTCTTCTCTTTTACGTTTTCTCTGACCCCATTTTTCCAAAAGAAAGGTTCCCCAAAATAAAGATACAAACTTAAAAAATTTACTAAGTTAAAACTGAAAATCAAAAAGTGTTTTTATGTTTTTTTTTCTATTTTACAAGGAAAAAAAATTTTACCAAAAAAAAACCCCAAAAAAAACAAAACCAAAAAACAAAAGAACTTTTAAATAAAAAAGTTTTAAAATTTTTATTTATTATATAAAAATTATATTGATAAATAAGCTCTAACTTTTCAAAGTTTTCAAAAAGTAAAGGAAAAAGGGTAATGTTTAAATTTTTTTTTGAAAGGGGAAACATTAAATTTTATAACCTTTTAAAAAAAAGGGTTTTTGGCAATTTTCTTGTTTTTTGAAGAAAAAAGCGGTGAAAAGGAAAAGAAAAAAAAAAACGTTTTGAATAAAAAAAAAAACATTTTTGGTGCATTTTTGGGCTTTTACATTTAAAGTAAAACCCAAAAACAATATATACAAGAAAATTTTTTCAAAAAGATATCAACGGGCCCCCCGCCTCAGGGGGGTTTTTAAAAATGGCTTTAAAATTGGTTTCTATTTCAAAAAATTTTTGGTTTTATTTTTATTTCAGTCAAAAATTTTAAAAACAAGGCTAGATCCCGCAAAAACAACAATTAATTTATTAAAAAAAGAAAAAACAAGGAAATTTAAAAAACTATAAAGTTAAGCTTTTACCTTTTACCCTTTGGGTAGAGATGCAGGTTTTTAAAAAGACAAAATTTGTCTTTTTCATTTTAAAAATATTTTTTGCCAAGTATTTTCAAAAACCTTTTAATACGAAAAATTTAGACCGGGCACAAATATCTTATAACAGACTATTTAAACTTTTTACCTTTAAGTGTGACTTTTGACGTAGGAACCCATGTTTTGCGCGCCTGACATATCGTCTTATTATTGTGATTATTTGTGGAGTATTTTTTTATATCCCTTGATATAAGAAAAAGTTTATGGGCTGGACACAAAATAAACCCTATTACAGACCATGTAAATATTTGACCTCTAAGTGTTACCTTGACCTTGGAGGTAGGGACACGGGTGTTACGCATGACATATCATCTTACCATTGTTACTATTTGTGCCAAGTATTTTTCAAAGTCCCTTGATCTATGAAGGAGTTATGGGCGGGACAACAAAATATATCATATAACAGACTCTGTTAACATTTGAGCTCTAAGTGCGACCTTGACCTTGAAGGTAGGGATGCAGGTGTTGTACTTGACATATCATCTTATTATTGTGACTTGCCAAGTTATTTTAAAATCCTTCGAACTATGAAGAAGTTCTAGATCGAACACAAAATATATCCTATAACAGACTATGTTAATCTTTGACCTTTAAGTGTGACCTTGACCTTTGAGGTAGGTGACTAGTTTTTTGCGCATGACACATTGTCTCATTATTGTGAACAATTGTGTAAAAGTATTTACAAAATCCCTTCAAAGATAAGAAAGTTTATGGACCGGACACGACATATACTCTCAAAGAGACAATGTTGACCTTGATTGAGCAAGTGCGACATTGACCCTGAAGGTAGGGGTCTGGTTGTTATACATGACACATCGTCTTATTATAACAAACATTTGTGCCAAGTTATTTCAAATTCCTTTGTATGGACCGGACACGAAAGTGTGACGGACGGACAGACGGATGGAGCCTATTTCTTTCTATTATCCCCTTTTTTGTTTGAAAAGGCGGAGGACAAAAATTATATATGATATATGTATCTGAATTAAATGACATGTTTGCCTAATGAGAACTATGAGTACGTACAATGTTTATATTGCCTTCGTCATGAGGTGTACATAGTTATTTCATATATATTTGTTTACAGGTTCTGACGTTAGTGTCTCTGTCAGCATTTCAGTTGTTGCTGTAATCATTGTGGTAGTTATTGTTACAATAATAAACTTTAAAAAAACGGTAAAATCAACATTTATAATTACTCAAATTTTGAATGATGTAAATTGAATTTGGCAACAACAAAATATCCCCCTTCTTTTATAGAGAACTTCTTTCGTAACAATATTACAGATTCTTACACAATTCATTTTTTTTCCGCTATCAAAGAGACAGAGTGCATACCATACGAGGATGTGTCAATATGTTATGCAATATAAACTCTATTTTCTAATTAGCCCGTGATTCTTGTTTTTGTGTAAACTATGAACTTTAAAACCAGCTGCTTTCAAAATGTGTGACACGTATTTCACGTATCTAGTCAACCGATTAAGAATTTTATTCACAATAAAAATACCTTACACGAGTAACTTCAAGTAAAACGGCTGGTTAAACGCTCAGTTAAAAGTCCTGAAAAATACGGGGCTTACATAAAAGGTCAAACAAATCTAACGAAAAAATCTGCCGTACACGTTTATATTGATACTTGTAAAGATAAATGGCAAACAATGAAATATCTTATGCAGATGTTTCGAGGTAGATGCACATATTAAAATAAGTTACGAGTCAGTTAAAGTACTTCTGGTAGAAAACTCTCCGTAGTTACTCAGCATTAACATTCATAAAGTCAAGCTTTCTATTGACAAAGACTTACCAAAATAGCTCATATACCATGCTTATCAAGTCGGTCAACTCATACGATTCCATAGAATCACTTGTAAGGTAGGCGAATAATTTCCAGATTGATGACCTATTTGCTAACATCTGGCTAGACAAAAGGAGCGAGTTTAATGTGCTCTTAAGTTTTTTCCTAAATATGATAGTCGCCCTTTTTATTTAACATTGTGACTGGCGATGAAAGCTAGTGTCACTCACTTACGCCAGTTCACAAGCGTAACAATAAGATCTAAGCAACAAAATTGTTCATCGACCATGAATTGCCAAGCGATTGAAAGAGGGCAAGAAAATTACGTTATTTGTTTTCATACCCCTGAACTAGTGTCCAAATTCCAGTTTCTAGAGGCCGTTCTGTCACCTCTAAATATTAGTGAGAGGCCTATCTTTTCTGCATGACAAATTTCCTACACACACAAAGGTGCTACTGTAATAGATATTTTTCCGAGAAAAACAGGTTTACTTCCTCAAAAATCCACCCTTTCCCCCAGACTAAGCACACCCGTGACTTCTTCCCCCTTTCCCTTTTTAAACAAAAAATTTTCAAAACCCTCACTAAAAAAAAGTGGTAATCATTGGTTTGGCCCTTTTTTTCAGTTATTTAAAGGGGCGGGACTATTTTTAAGCATTTAAAAATTTGGTTTAAAAACTTTTAAAAAAATATTTTGTAATTTTGTAGGAAAGAAAATTTTTAAAGGTTGAAATAAAAAACCATATATTTGCTATTTTGGCCAATTAATTGACCATATTGATTACATATTGACTCTCTCTCGTATATTACACGCTTAAAAGGAATATGTACACGTCATATGTCGTTAGATATGACGTCAATAAACTAAACGTCGCCTAGGTAATTACTTAGGCCTTCAATTGTCTAAAACTTACATTTATCTGTTCTCTTTTTATGCCACCGCAGCATCTGCGATGCGGTGGCATATAGCGATTCACCTGTGTGTGTGTGTGTGTGTGTGTGTGTGTGTGTGTGTGTGTGTGTGTGTGTGCGTGTGTTTGTGTGTGTGTTATATAGATTATATAGTGAACTTTAACAATCTTCTTGTGAAAAACCACTAGTCCAATTTCAACCAAACTTGGCAGGATTGTTTCTTGGGTGAAGGGCTTCCAAAGTTGTTCAAAGAATTTCATTCCATGCAGAAATCTGGTTGCCATGGCAACCAAAAGGAATTATAAGAATAAATTAAAAAAATCTTCTTGTAAAGACCCAAAAGGCCTAGAGCTTAGATATTTTGCATAAGGCATTGTCTGGTAGACCTCTAACAAGATTGTTCAAATTATAGCCCTGGGGTCAAAATTGGTGCCACCGCAGCATCTGCGATGCGGTGGCATATAGCGATTCACCTGTGTGTGTGTGTGTGTGTGTGTGTGTGTGTGTGTGTGTGTGTGTGTGTGTGTGTGTGTGTGTGTGTGTGTGTGTGTGTGTGTGTGTTTGTGTGTGTGTTATATAGATTATATAGTGAACTTAAACAATCTTCTTGTGAAAAACCACTAGTCCAATTTCAACCAAACTTGGCAGGATTGTTTCTTGGGTGAAGGGCTTCCAAAGTTGTTCAAAGAATTTCATTCCATGCAGAAATCTGGTTGCCATGGCAATCAAAAGGAATTATAAGAATAAATTTAAAAAATCTTCTTGTAAAGACCCAAGAGGCCTAGAGCTTAGATATTTTGCATTAAGCATTGTCTGGTAGACCTCT